ATTCCCGGCAGGGTGAAACATTGGGCAAGTTTCCTTACTCCACACGCCTCTGTTTACCTAGCAGTAAGTAGGAATCCGTTTTTTAGTCGATCAGTAGATTCCTTTTCTTGGGGTAATAATTCCTTTTAAAAAATAATAATAAATTGGTCAACTCAATCCACGACTATTTGTGGGTTACTGTGTGCGCAATTCGCTGCTGTGTTTCTCCCACAAAATATAGTCAATTGACTTTAGACTATATGCTGTGAAGCGCTTTAAGATGTCTCAAAGGCGTGATAAGGCGCTATATCAAATGCAAGGATTATAGTCAGTCTATGTAAGGTTTGATTCTGCAATGAGAATGAGTTAATGGTGCCACCTTGTGATAATCTCCATATTGCAGGAACAGAATTGATATGTTTGCAAGCTTTTTCCCTACCTCCTCCCATTCTCTTCTACTGTAAAGGTTTTCTCTTTGCTGATATTTGGTTCAGTAGGGAGCACGCACCCACCTGGGGCAAGAGTGTCGGCAAATGTAGTGTTTGAATTTGTGAGTCTGTTGGTGCCTGTTTAGTGTAATGCAAAAGGAGCTCTGTGGCATAGTGTATACAGATGGGGCTTAGTATCCAAGACCCCTTGTTTGCTGAGCATCTGATTTCAGCTGTCGAGCAAGAACATGGAAAGTGAAGTAGCTTGGTCTCATGGGCCTTCTTGTGAGAGTCACTCCCCAATCTGGCCAGACACTGCAAACCAGAAATGAGGAAAACAACTGAAGTGCAAGTTGGTCGTGCCTTCAGTTAATAATAATAATAATAATAATCCTTGCATTTGATATAGCGCTTTTCACGTCGGGAAGACGTCCCAAAGCGCTTCACAGAACACACTGTAAAGTGAATTGACTGTATATTTGTGGGCGAACGCGGCAGCCAATTGCGCACAGCAATGTCCCACAAACAGTCGTAGATTGAAAATGACCAATTTATTATTGTTTTGGTTTTGGAGGGATTATTATTAGGCGTGTGGAGTAAGGAAACTTGCCCAAGGTTTCGCCCTGCCTGGAATTGAACCCAGGTGTCTCACTTGCAAAGCGAGTGCTCTAACCACTGAGCTACAGGACTCCAGATAGGAGGAAAAAAAGGTTTACCATTTGAAATAGACTCAGAATGTTAACCAGTGTACTGCTGCCTCCACAGATGGAGTGCGGATTCTATTGACAGCATGATGACTTTGTTAGGTCAGGGTATTAAGGGATATGGGGCAAGGGCAGGTAGTTTGACTTGAGGTCTAGATCAGCCATGACCTTATAGAATGGCGGAACAGGCTCCAGTGGCTGAATGGCCTATTTATGTTTCTATGACTTAAGTGGTTGTGAGCCAGGGTCAGATTATTAGGAATTTCCATTTTTTGAGGGAAGGAGGAAGGCAAAACATCTTGAATAAGGAGCACTTCTCTTAAACTGCTTCCAGCTTTTTTGACCAGTGCCGTTGATTATTTTTGCAGAGATGTCTGTGAGCTGCACTGCCCAGCTCTGATGACTAAATGTGTGGGGTGATGGAGAGGAGAAGAAAATTTACTCCCGTAAAGAGTTTGTGACCACCCAGAGTATAAACTTGTGGATTTTGAATCTGGGTACTGATGGTGACTTGTGTGTTGCAGAACATTTGTTAGTTAGCGATCAGCACCCACTGAGGAAGAAAATTAGCATGGATTAACCATTCTCCAATCACAATAGGAGCATAAATGCCAGTTCAGATTGGAGAGGCAGGCATATTTTTTTCTAATGCATTGAACTGCTGTGTGTTAAGTGTGTGTGTACTTTGTCTACCTAACTTGTATCTATTGTGTGGTTAATGGAATTGAAAGACAGATCACCTTCATACTGTCAAGTGTTGTTTATTTAGAGTAATTGTAAAGTAATATAAATTACACTGTGCAGAATGGTCTCACTAACTTTAAGAAGACTTTGCTTTGGGTAGTGACTAGGTGTTGGCTAGTGATGAATGGTGTTTACTTAAAAGCGTGAAATGCTTTTCTGAAAAGGGAAAATTCGTTGTCAAAACGTGCTGAGGGGAGGAGGGAAGCTTTTACACCAGCAATCGGTTCTCGAGGAGTCTGGAGCTCTGCCAGTTGACAGTCCACATGTGATTAGATGTCTTGTCGTCAGTGTGTAGGTATTGTGATGACATTTATATGTTTTTTTCTTTGCAATGTCCAGTTGTGTAAGGATAAGAGGGAGATACAAGACACAATAGATACAAGAAACGTAGACAAAGTACACACACAACTAATGCGCAGCAGTTCAATTCATTAGAAAAAAAGTAAAATCATGAAAAAAACAGAAGCAAAGGCATCAATTGGAACATCAGGCGACTGACTGACTGCACTCCCAGATTTGTTTTGCAAAATAACAACTTGCATTTATATAATGCCCTACGCATAGGGTAGATCTTGGAGCTCTTAACACAGTAGCACTGAACCGGGCAGAGGGGAGAGGTGTCTGTAGGTACAGTCAAAGAGGAAGGTATTCAGGCATGATCTGAAAAAGTGGAAGGAGGGGACAAAACAGAGGGATTGAGGAAGAATTTCTAAGGTTTGGGACATACCGGATGAAAACATGGTGGTGGAGTGGAGAGGATGAGGGTCAAGCAGAAGACCGGAGCTAGCCAAGTAGAGGCGGCGGGTTGTAGAGTGTGAAGTAATAATATAATAATAATAATCCTTGAATTTGATACAGCGCTTTTCACGTCTTCAAAACGTCTCAAAATATGCTGTGAACTGAATTGACTGTACATTTGTGGGCGAAATGCGGCAGCCAATTGCGCACAGCAGTGTCCCACAAGTAGTCATGGATTGAAAATGAACAATTTTTTATTGTTGTTTTGGAGGGATTATTATTAGGTGTGTGGAGTAAGGAAACTCGCCAAGGTTTCGCCCTGTCGAGAATTGAACCCAGGTCTCTCGCTTGCAAGGCGAGTGCTCTAGCCACTGAGCTACAGGACTCCACAAAGTAAACAGGTCAGGAAGTACCAGAGCATGAAGGGACTTGTAGCTGATTGTGAGGATCTTGAAACTGATCCAATCTGTGATAGGGAGTCAGTGAAGTCTGATGATGTTGTGAGGATGGTACAGAATTTAGAGCGAGTGAGTAAATGGGTGGCGGAAAATTGAATTAGTTGAATTTTGTGCATAGTGGAACTGGGGAGACTGGTGAGGTGCAATACCATTATTTTGTAAGGGGGCAGTCATTGTAGAAAAAAACCCAACCTTCAATATCAGTTTCCATAAAGCATAAATAATAGTATATCATTATGGTACTTGCACAGTGATCTCAAGACCTCTGCTAGTAAGTGCAACGCCATTTGATGCGTGCCGCCTCTAGACTGTTGCCAATAATATCACGTACTGCACTATTTGCTTCCTGAATCACGTATCCGGAGTCCGTCCTTCGTGAGATTGAATCCAGCTCCGTCCGCTGACAAAGCTGGTCTACTGCAAGCCTGACTCCTTACTTTGCAATATATGCGGACTGTTCACCTCAATACAGAACTTCTGGCCTCTGCGCAGCGCCCTCTGGTGGCACATATATAAATAACCAGAATATAAAGGTTTATTGTAACAGGTAAAACAGACCTATTCATGGATTTCCAAAAAAAACATCGCTGACTGCAGTTGTCTCTCGTTGTTTTGTTTTATGAAATTATTAACTTCCGAAAATTTTGTTGATAATTTTATGTTGATCGCTAAACTATTTCAATGCCATTTTGTATGGTATTTTTTGTCTTGGTCACACGCGTATGTTTTCTTGAGTGAAAAATGGATGAGTTTCATAAAATACATCACAAACATAATGACGGCTCAGGGTGTACTCCATGGAAAAATGACAGGAGCTGTACAGTTACTCATGATACTGTTTATTCTTCAAAATCTATATGCTCACTCTTGGTGACATCATCCGCAGACATGGGTTCAACTTCTACATGTATGCGGATGAAATCCAACTGTATCTCTCTGCCTCCACCCTTGACTCCAGGACCACTGCTGTCCTGACAAAAAGTCTGTCAGAGATCAAGTCCTGGATGAGAGCTAACTTTCTTCAGTTGAACGTCAACAAGACCGAGGCTCACCTGATTGGCTCCCGTCAGCGCCACCTCACCTCAGGCGCTGACAGCATCACCATCTACGGTTGAACACCCCACCTTGCTAAGCCAGTCCGGAACCTTGTTTGACCCTCAACTATCCTTTCTACTCCACATGACCTGCACCATGACCTGCTCTGTCTTCCCCCACCTCTGCATCGTCAGCCAGCTCCGCCACTCCGCCTCCGTCTCACATCACAGGCCACCGAAACCCTTATACATGCTTTCATTACATCGAGGCTCGACTATGCAAACTCACTGCTTGTCGGCCTCCCCAACTCCTCCCTCCACAGGCTGCAGATCATCCTCTCCCGCACTTGGCTCCCCGACCCTATCACTCCCATCCTTGCCCAACTCCACTAACTTTCCATAACACAGAGGATACAGTTCAAGATCCTGGTCCTCACCTTTAAAGCCCTCCACGGTCTTGCTCCCCCCTACCTCTGCGACCTTCTTACCCCCTACCATCCTGTTCACTCCCTCCGCTGCTTCACGTCCCCGCCTCGCTTGCCCCACTATTGGCGGGAGGGCCTTCCGCCACTCTGCACCCACGCTCTGGAACTCCATCCCGCAGTCCCTCCGCCTCGCCCCTCGCTTGCCACCTTCAACACCCATCTCAAGACCCTCCTCTTCGACTGTGCTTTCGATCTCCCTGCTTTCCCCCCCTGCCCTCCACCCTGCCCCACCCCAACCCAAAGCTTGGGTCCATAACTCTGTCTGTCCAGCGCCTTGGGACATCCTCCCAATGTGAAAGGCACTTTACAAATGTAATTTTGTTGTTATTGTTGTGTATTCTTTGCCCTATTTCATCCCAATGCAGTGCAAACCCATGTTTTCGTCATGAAATTGCATGAAATGATTTTGTGGATGTGATTTTCGTTTCAGTCTGTACCTGTTCAAGCTTGGAATAGCACCACAAATCCAAGACTTACTGGGCAAAGTGGATTTTACAGGTAGAGCTTTTTCTTTTGCAATCGATGGGCAGTGTTTGAAAAGATATCTAGGAGAAATCCTGTCCAACTCCAGTTCAATAAATTATGTAGCTTAAATTTAAAACCATGGGATTCTGTAGCTGCTACATGTTAATGATTTTTTATTCCAGAGGAAGAAATAAGTAACATGCGTAAGGAGCTGGAGAAGTATGGAATTCAGATGCCTGCCTTCAGTAAGATTGGTGGAATCCTGGCTAATGAACTTTCAGTTGATGAAGCTACATGTATGTATCTTGTTGCTTCAGGCCCTTGACTGTGAGCGTACCCGGGGCCCATCGATAACTTTGTGTTTGAAGATTTGTCCAGTGCAGTGATACATCAGCTTTAATGTGGTGTTTCTCTGTACTTGTGCTTTCTGTAAATTGTATGTTAAAGCAAAATTGTATTGTTTTTGATTTAAACCAATCAGCCTGCTCAGGTGTTGGCACTCACAGGTTCAGTTGGGATGAAGAAGGCCTTTGGGCCCATTTAATCTCATCTTTCCAGAATACCCACCCAAATCTGAGTCAAAATGTTATGGGATTCAAGACTTTGAACTCATAGTCTAGGCTGATGCTCCATTGCAGTGCTGATATGCTGCATTGTTGAGGTGTTAGTCTTCAGATAGATGTTAATCTCAGGTGGGCATTAAAGATCACATTGCACGATTCGAAAAGAGTACAGAGTTTTTCCCAGTTTCCTGGCTAACAGTTCTCCAAGTAAAATTATTTTGTTCACTTCATGGCTGTTTGTCCAGCATTACTGTGCCCCAATCGTTTTTTTGCGATCATATACAAAATACAGTTACAACATTTTACAGAAAAAACCGTGAAGCACTTCAGGACATATCAACATTATAATGTGTGTTAAATGTTACGATTATTATCGCAAATAGTTGTCAGTTTGTTGTAAGAACTCACATTCAATACCCCAAAAGTTATATTCTTCCCTCACCAGGCTCCACATGCCCATCCATTCAGATTCCACAGGCTTCAAGTGCCTCAGTGGATCAATGTCAAGATGCTTGTTGTTCTTCAGATCCTTTCATGATCTTGCCCATTCCTATTCCTGCAATCTTTTGCAGGCCTAATATTCTGCCTGTATCGTCTGCTACTCCGACTGGTCTCCTGCTCATTCTTCAAATGCTCCATCTCACCATCAGGGTTCAAGCTTTCAACCACTATGTCCCCACTCTCTGAGATTCCCTTCCAAATTCTCTTTGCTTTCTGCCTTTTCTCCCTCCCTTTAGAACTCTACTTAAAAAATGATTCATTTAATCATTGCTTTGGTAAGCATCCGCAAATGCTTGTCCTGCTCAGTGATCTACATTATCTTTGTAAATTGCTTTGAGCCCTCAATGAAACGTACGAAGCAAGGTCAGATTGCTGTTGCATTTTGTTTACCAGGGTATTAAGGTTATTTGCGTCACAATGACTTCAGTTTGATTCAGCGGGACACTCATCAATCTGTGTTGTTTCTCACTCCAGTGCACGCTGCAGTAATTGCGATCAATGAAGCAATATCTCAAGGAGTAGCAAATGAGACCTTAAGGACTCTGAGGAATCAAAATGCCATATTAACTAATATAGAAGGTGACTTAGCACAGAATTATCAAGACACATTATTTCAGGCCAAGAAAACCAAACAAGAGAGTGCCAAAAGTAAGGTAAGGAAACTCAAAAAATCAATCACACACTGTGTTTTGAATGTAATGCATGGATTAGTAACTGGGTATTTGAGGTAGGTATTGGATTAGTAACTGGGTATCTAAACTAATGCATGGATTACTAACTTGTTGAAGAGAAAGAATTTTAGTGTCTTTGTAAAGGAAAGCCTAACATAAGTCTAACTGGGGAGGATTTGATGAGTCCATTTGATGGGTTTGTAATGGGAGCCCCCACTCACACTGACAAATTAAGTCCAATTGTGCTGCATATAGGAAGTAAAATAAGGAGGCCCATGTACTCCCATGAGTCAGATAGCATATGACAGCATAAGGGATATTGAAAGACACATAAGATTGCCAAATCATTTCATTTCAGATTCCCAGATATGCTGCTCAAGTTACATAGGGCAGGTTGTGTTTTGAGTGCGGTGTATCATTCTGATTGATAGGCAGTACAGAGGAGAATATCAAGAATGATCCCCATTGTTGGAGAGATGAACTATAAAAATGACAAGATAAGCTGGGCTCTAAAACTGAACAGAGTCAGCCCAGAGAGGACTGCATTGAGGAATTCAGAATGTTTAACTAGGTAGAGACGTTAAAGCCAGAAGAATTCTTTCACATACTCCAAGGCAGCAGAAGTAAAGAGCATTCATTCCCATTGGGTGTGCTTGGAACGGAGAATTCCTGTGTGATCTGACAGATGTCTTGAAAGCTGACATTTTCCCATTTGAAGGAGTTTTAAATGTACTGTAGATGCACACAGCAGTTTAGTGTTACAACTTAACCTCGTACTGATGTGCTGTGCTATGGACTGGTAGAACATGGAGAGTTGTGGATTTTTTTCTTCCACTTTCCCTTCCCCCTTCATCCCTCCGCCCACATCCTGGGCAGCAGTGAACTACATTTCCTCCACACACAATCTTAACCAATTTCTAAAAATATGAAATAAAAGGGATGGGGGTGCACTTTGCTTTAAAAGTTTTCAATAGTTTTCCAGTAAGTATTGATAAATGTGTATTTGATTTTGGTTTCTAGAGCGATTCTGCTGCAATGGAGGAAAGGGATATGTATGAAGAACTTTTGACTCGTAGTGAGATTCAAGATAACGTCGATAAGGTCAACAGTGAGTTGATATTAGTTTCCCTCTGAACTTGCGCGTTGGCTGGTCGTTTATTTTCTTTACTCTAATGATGAAAAATAGCACACATTTAATCCCATGTTACAATTAGATGTTTGAATTCACAAGTCCTGTTGAAATGCTGTTGAAAGTCACTGTATGTTGAGCTATTCAGTTTTAACAGCACTTCACTGTTGAAAAATTGCTTAAAAACAGCACTATTTGTGTACTACGAGCAAAATGGGACAAAGTTCATAGAAATTTACAGGACTGGAAACGCCAGAACCAATGTTTTTTTTAAAAATATATAATACTCAATCTCTCATACACCTTAATCTATTTATTTGCCAAATAACTATCCAGTTCCCTTTACAATGTCCAGATGTGATCTGCCTCCATTGTCTCCCGAGGAGGTAAGCCATTGCCCATATTGACCACTCAGATGTGTAATATCTAAACCATCTACTCACCTTCCCACTTGACCTCAAGTCTATGCTTCTCTTGTTGTAGTTTTTGTGACCATGCTAAAAATTACCGATTAGTTCATCAATTCCTTTTCAGATTTTGAATACTTCAGTAAGACCTCCCCCGACCCTCTCTTTTCCAGTGTGAGACAATGTTTGTTGCATGAAACACAACCATTCAGTGCATTGTTGCCCTGGGTTAGCATGGTGCAGATCTGGTTCATCTGACCTACCACCCTGCAGACTCTATCCGTAAAGCTGACACTGGCCTCTTTCATATCACCTGCCTGATCCAATTCACCATTGGTGTGTGATGTTTCAGCCCTTCTGCCCCCGCCCCTTGCCATGCATTAGCTCAGGTGCCAAATCAACTCTATGAAGTGATTTGAGGCATCTTCCTTATACAAAAGCCACTTTATAGTGTAAACTGTCGTTATTCTTGTTGGACCATTTCTCTGTTTTCTGGTCAGCTGAGTGTCTGTCACGTTTCTTTTAATTTGGATCTAAAAATACACCTGTACAACATTATGTTTCTAAATAGTTAATTATGTTTCATTCCCCAGTACATAAAGCTCTAGAGCAAGTGAATGAGGCCCTCGACAAGAAGGATGAGGTTACTTTACTGTTGAGTCTAAGGGTCCCTGCGCTGGGGCTTGTGGGGGTGCAGCAAGAGAACTCGCCATGGTATCTTGCTCATCTGCGTACTTACAAAGAACAGAAATTACAGGTAGGGTGAAAACGATTCTATTTTTCAGCACTGACCTTCGGTAAAACATATCTACCTTATCACCAATTAACTACTTTTCCAATTACCTTTTGGCATTGGCTTAACATGTAGCAGCATAACATAATGCTTAACAAGCAACTTGTATTTTGCTTTAAGATTCACACCATGCGCTCAAGTCTGTATTGGTAATGGCACAAAAAATAGTTCTCGATACAACAGGACAGAATTACGTTAAGAATTATGTGGAAGTAACAGAAACCAACACATTTCATTCTATGTCTTTAGGAAGAAGGTTTTACCCGAATGCTTAACAAAGGTGAACTTCACACAGAGGTCAGACTTTGCAATGAGCTGGCCAAAGCCCAAAGACTCAGTGAGTGTAATTTTTAACTTTATATTCTGTGCTAAAGATAAATTTCACTTTCAGTAATCTCTTCCGAAAGATTAACAGAACATTCTTTCTGTTTAGATGAGAATAGTTATGATATGCTGACTCTATTGCAAACGAATCTCTCAGTGAGCATCGTTCTTTTATTGCTCTACAGAACTTGAAGCTGTGGAAAAAATAAATGCCGCCATCCACAGCGGGGATGCGACCCATACTGTGAACATGCTCTTGCAACCAGAGGCCCAGTTACCCCTGGTTCACCCGTCCATGGCTGAGTTATATCAGACAGAATTGGGGAACCTACAGAAACAGAATCCTGAGGTAAGAACAGAATTCAAAAATGTGCACAGAGGAGGGAGGAGGAAGGATAGTGTCTTGATTTTCGTGTCTGTTTAGGCTGTCCTGAACATCTTTCTGGTACGTAAAATATACAGTGATCCTTGGATATTACGTTTTCAGTGTTCACAAATTAGGTTTTTGCTACTAAACAACTTATATTCGAGTCATTTGTAAGTAATGTTGAAGGGTAAAATTTACAGTCCACAAAGTATTTTGATAAATGGATTAGACAAATTGGAGATTGATCCTTTCTCTCCCCCCNTAACTTTACCAACATCAACGATGAACCATCATTGTAAAAAACCAGGTCAATCAGAGGAAAGTTGATATGCAACATGGCAATAGATTGAGACCCTAGCTGGAGTCTTTAACTCAGCATAAAACTGCTGAACGGTAACCAGTAATCTTTGATTACTACAGTAAATGCAATAGATTAAAAACAGATGCAGAAAAGCTTTGCAAAAACTAATGAAACAAAAACTCAAGAGACTGATTGATTGGCTTCGGCTGCTATATTTTATCCTCGTCTCTTCGTGGAGTTGTTTTTTTTAAAAATTGCTCTTGTGCCTGGTCAGATTCTTTTTTAAGGTTATCTGTTTCTTCCCTTGAGTTTAATAATCAATAATAATCCTTGCATTTGATATAGCGCTTTTCACGTCGGGAGGATGTCCCAAAGCGCTTCACAGAACACACTGTAAAGTGAATTGACTGTATATTTGTGGGCGAACGCGGCAGCCAATTGCGCACAGCAATGTCCCACAAACAGTCGTAGATTGAAAATGACCAATTTTTTTGGGGGGGGTTTTGGAGGGATTATTATTAGGCGTGTGGAGTAAGGAAACTTGCCCAAGGTTTCGCCCTGCCTGGAATTGAACCCAGGTCTCTCGCTTGCAAAGCGAGTGCTCTAACCACTGAGCTACAGGACTCATCGACTTAGTCATCGACTTGGCCAACAGGACAGATAATCTGTGCCAAGGTCTTTCGAGCTCATCCACGAGAATAGTTTCCTAGTTTCCTACAGTGTTCCTAGTTTTCTTAACCTCTGCTTGGTACCTCCCTACTGTAGAGTCTGCCAATGTGCAGCAATAAAGCACTGATGCATTTTCTCCAAAGAGATAGTGATATAGATATATGATGATGGACTCTCTTCCTTGCTGGTATCTTATTGAATATGTATTAAATTCTCTAACACTCTAATAATCTTTCTATAATGGGGGCCCCACAAAACTGCACACAATACTTGTCCTCCATATTTTTACCTCTCCTGTTCACCCCACTTACCTGTTCTGTTTACTGATTTACAGGGGCACCTGACTCATGAGGAACTCTTGGTTGCAGTGGAGATGCTGTCAGCCGTGGCTGCACTGAATAAAGCACTAGAGCTCAGAGATGATCACGGGGTTATGCAACACCTCACCAGCTCTGCTATCGGACTTAGCAATCGCGATGAAGTGAACACTCAGCGGTAGTTACTTCTAGCTATTAATGCTCTCGCTGCGGTTGTAACTTGCAGAGTTTACTCATAGGCCTGTTGCACACATGAAATGTAGTGTGGGAATAACTGGTGCTAAGTTATTTAAATTCTGCTAAATCATAAATTATTAGGTTTAAATGAAATAAAACAAGACCAAGGATGGCAGATTATGATGAACTGGATTGGTGTGGTGTCAGCTAAGCCAATGCAATAAAACAATATTGTGAGAGTTAGTTGTTTGGCATGTGAATATAGTATATCATTTCAATGCTGGGTTTGCCTATTCAGAATATTAAGTATTGATAGATTTAAGATTTAAAAACTGAGTCATTCTTTGGTGTCAGCAATAACTTGTCGCCTATAGACGGGCAACTTAAATGTCAGTACGTTTTCAGTTCAAAATACTTCTTTGTAACCCCTCCAGTCGGGTTTCCGTACCTCCCACAGCACAGAAACAGCCCTGTCCATCTACGACCAGGGCTCCCTTTGCCTCCTCATCCTCCTTGACCTCTCTGTTGTCTTTGACACCGTTGACCAGTCTATCCTCCTCCACCGCCTCTCCTCTCACCTCAACCTTCACGGTTCTGTCCTTGACTGGTTCGGATTGTACCTCACATACCTTCTCCACTTCATCTCCACAAACGGCTTCTCCTCTAGCCCCCGCACGCCTCATGCAGTGTTCCTCAGGGCTCTGTCCTTGGTCCCCTCCTCTTCAACATCTATATGTGGATGACTCCCAACTGTACCTCTCTGCCTCCACCTTTGACACCAGGACCACTGTTGTCCTAGCAGTCCTGGATGAGTGCTAACTTTCTTCAGTTGAACGTCAATAAGACCAAGGCCCTCCTGATTGACTCCTGTTAGCGCCTCCACACTTCAGGTGCTGACAGCATCACCATCCATGGATGCACACTCCCTCATACTAAGCCAGTACGGAAGCTTGGCGTCTTGTTTGACCCTCAACTATCCTTTCTACCCCACATCCGAGCCATGACCCACTCTGCAAAAACTGCCTGATAATATGTTTCTCACACTAAGCTGGTCAGAGGTTGGCTATGATAAGTTATCATTCTGTTTCATATCAGTTGATTGTTCTGTTTGCAATTCTTTAAAGTTGCCGAGTCACCACGGAAGTGTAATTCCTGTTCCTAAGTCGCTATCTCTACCAAGTGTGAGCAGTGATCATTCTCTCTCTTAGGTACGTGGACTTCCTGAAATCATTGAAGGTCCAGGCTGTGGAGGAGGGGCAAACATATCTGGGCTGGAATGATCTTCAGAGCTCTATTGATGAAGTCAATTTGCAAATTCAAGAGGAAAATGAGAGTGAGTCCCTTTTGTATAGAAACCCCGATATTATTAAATTGTGAAGCAAAATGTCCAGTAGAAAAAATATATATTTCAACAGTAATTGTTTCAGGCAGGAGTAAGCCAATTGGCATGAATTCTGTTGTAAAATAGCTTTTTGATGCAAATACAGGTTCATAGTCCCAGTGATTCTGCTGTGGTGTGTTTACCTGTTGTAATGCTGGCGATGCTGGATTTCCTTGAGACCAAAATCGAGAGGATCCGTTCAGCCGCCTCTGCCCTCTCAACTGCCACTCCCTCCCCATCTCTTCCTCACACTCCAACTCTTACCCTTCCCTCCCTCCACACCTTCGAACCTATTTCCCCCTCCTTTCTCACCATGATAACTCGCATGAAGCCCACCACCTGCTCCCTCAACGTCACCCCTACCGCTCTCCATACTTCCCAGCTCCACCTCCTCGTCCCTTTACTGTCAGACCTCATCAACCTCTCCCTGTCAACTGGCACCGTTCCCACCCCCTTAAAAATAGCTGTCATCACCCCTATCCTAAAAAAACCTTTCCTGGACCCATCCCTGCTCACAAACTACCACCCCATCTCAAACCTCCCTTTCCTTTCCAAGGTCCTTGAAAGAGTCGTTGCTTCCCAGCTTCAATCCTTCATCTTCTGCTGCTCCCTTTACGGACCTCTCCAATCGGGTTTCCAGGCTGCCCACAGCACGGATATAGCTCTGGTCAAGGTGCCAAATGACATTCTGTCCATCTGTGACCAGGGCTTCCTCTGTCTCCTTATCCTCCTCAACCTCTCTGCTGTCTTTGACACTGTGGACAACTCTATCCTCCTCCATCACTTCTCCTTTCACCTTAACCATCAAGATTCTCTCCTTGAATGGTTCAGATCCTATCTCTGACACCAGCTCCACTTTGTCTCCACAAAATGGCTTCTCCTCCAGTCCCCGCACCATCTTGTGCAGTGTTCCTCAGGGCTCTGTCCTTGGTCCTCTCCTCTTCAACCTGTACATGATCACTCTTGGTGACATTGTCCGCGAACATAGGGTCAACTTCCATGTTCCACATTCCATGGATGACACCCAACTCTATCCCTCTGCCTCCACCCTCGACCGCAGGTCACTGATGTCCTGACAGACTCCCTGTCAAACATCAAGTGCTGGATGAGAGCCAACTTTCTACAGTTGAATGTCGGCAAGACCGAGGCCTTCCTGATTGGCTGGCGCCAGAGCCTCTGCACCTCAGGCACTGGCAGCATCAGCATCCAAGGATGCACACTCCACCTCACCAAGCCAAGTCATGAACCTGGGCATCTTGTTCAATCCTCAACTGTTCTGTCTCCCCCACATCCGTGCGTGACCCGCTTTGCCTTCCCCGCCTCCGCAACATTGCCTGATTCTGTCACTGCCTCACCCCTCAGACTGCTGAAACCCTCATTACAACCATGACTATGCCAACATCCTGTTTGTCAGCCTTCCCAACTCTTCCCTCTACAAGCTGCAGATCATCCAGAACTCTGCAGCTCGTGTTCTCTCCCGCACCAAGCTCTGCGACCCCATCACCCCCACCTTCGCCCGGCTCCACTGGCTCCCCATCCCTCAGAGGATCCAGTTCAAAATTCTCGTCCTCACCTTCAAGGCCCTCCATGGCCTTGCCCCCTCCTACCTCTCCAACCTGTTAACCCCTTATCAACCTATCCACTCCCTCCATTCAGCAGGTTCCGGCCTGCTCCATGTCCCCCGCCTGGCCCGCCTCATCATCAGCGTCGGGCCTTCAGTCTCTCGGCCCCCACCCTCTGGAACTCCATCCCACATTCCCTTCGTTCCCTCCCTTACCTCCTTCAAGGCATGCCTAAAGACCCTCCTCTTCAACCATGGCTTTGGTCACCCTCTCTGCCCTCCACCACCCCTAACCTCCCCCCCAACTCCCTCCTCCCCCACTACCACCGCTCGGATCTTAATATCCTCATCCCTGACTATTCAAAGCCTTGGGATGTCCTCCCGGGGTGAAAGGTGCTTTACAAATGTAATTTTGTATTATAATAATGCCCCATGTGTGGCTTCATTTTCTTTGCACAGAGATCATTGCAGTTGGTTGTATTAATGATGCAGTAGATGAAGGTGATCCCAATAAAACACTGGAGGCCCTATTGATGCCCACTGCCAAGTTAGAAGCCACAAATCCCTCACTAGCACGTCATTATCAAGATGTTCTACATCATATAAAACAAGAGAAGTGCAAGGTGAGTCATACAAAATTCTTTTAATTCATAAATTTGAAGTGTATGTAAACTTAAAATATATACAGCAGTCAAAAGGGTGTTACATAATAATAATACAATGATGAGGATAACTTAAATAGCATTTATGTAGGCCATCAAGTAAAAATGCATCTTGAAGCACTTTGCAAAGTATTATTTATTATTAATAATCATAATAATACTTACATTTCATACTGCGCTGTTCACATCACTTAAACATCTCAAAGTATTTCACAGGTTATAATATAAAGTGTAGTGACTGTGTATTCTGTAGGCAAATGTCACAGCCAATTTTCCATACATTTGTTAAAAAGGAAGTGAATTTGTAATATAGCCAAATGCAACCGTTAATCTGAAATAGTAACATCCCATAAATAACAATGAAATGAGCAGCCTATGGAGTACTGTAGCTCAGTGGTTAGAGAACTCACCTCGCAAGCGAGAGACCTGGGTTAGATTCCTACCAGAGCGAAACTGTGGGCAAGTTTCCTTGTTCCACAAATATACAGTCAATTCACTTCACAGTATATCTAGAAGGCATGAGAAGCCCTATATCACATGCAAGGATTATTATTATTTGCTAGAAATTATGAGGCAAATTTGAATATCGGAATACAAAACGGGTTAATCAGGAGACAGACTTCATGTACATTTCAGGTAGTTTTGAAATGGCGCTGGTTGGGCAGCTCCTTCGTGCATAAAAATAAGCTAAACCACAATGACACTCTGTACTGAGAAAACTTTTTATAGAGTGATATAAATACCTTGCGTTAGCAATGGACGTTGTGAAATTGCCTTGTTTTAACTCTGGCAAAAATTACAGCTTGGATGCTGACCATAGAATATTCATCTTAACTAAGTGCCAATTACCGTATTGAGTTAAGTACTTGCAAAAAGCTCTAAATGAAATGGTCGATGAACACTGGGGTCATACAAACCCACAGATGATGTGCTTGCTGTATTGCCATTAAAGCAGAAAAGCCAATTGAATACGTTCGCTTTCAGAACACAGATACTACAGTTTACAGTAAATTCTGTGAAGCAATTTGAGATTCCCTCCCTACTTATAAAAGGTGCTGTATTAAATGTAAAGATTATTATAGTGATGCTGAGTATCAGCCTCTAAGCTTCGGGATTTGTCCAGGACAAACAATGATACCGCGTAATAACAAACCATCTGAATGACAGCTAATTGATGATGTAAATTTGAACATTGGAATACAAAGCAGGTTAACCAGAAAACAGACTCCACGTACATTTCATACAGCTTTGAGTGATTGAATTTCACAAATCAATTATGTTGTATCATGGCTTGTGAGATGCACAGAGTGACATCGCTTGTTTTAATCGCTTGTTGATTAAGCTGTAATCAACTTATTCAGCACAGAGTAAGCTTTGACACACACTATACACATTTTATCAGAACCCCACTATTACTTGTATCTCATGTTCAGAGTTGCTCTGCTTTTACTCACATTAGTAACTGCGGTCTGAGATCTTAAAGCAGGTGTGAGATAACGGATATGTAATTCTATTTGAACAGCTTCGATCATTTTCTTTCAATCTGTTGTCTGAGTAAGGGAAACCCACCCTGTAATCAACTTATTCAGCACAGAGTAAGCTTTGATCCAGGACTTTCTTGTTCTCTGCAGCTCGGTTCCAGATTGCATGATGCGACTTCCTCTTGAGCCATGAGGTGGCGCTCAGTAACTTTGTGAACTGTTTTTAAACTTGTAGATTCATACAGTATATAGGAGGGAGGTAGATGATTATTTGGTTGGGAAGGGATTGAGTGATGTGGTGAAAGGTCAGGGAAATGGTATTAAGTTACACAAGTTACGGAATAGCCAAATATCTTAATAAAACGCTGGAACAGACTGAATGATCCACTCCTGTTCATGTCTTCGAATGTTTATTTGATATAACGACCTTCCCTTCTCGTGTCTAAGATGAGTTGGATGTCCTTTGAACCTGCACTTCCAAAAATTATAGTAAACCATTCTTTTCCTGGATGTCCCAAATTGTCAATTGCCCCCATTGTGTAAATTTGAGTTCTGAGGAAGCTGTGTTTGTTTGATGAACATTGAGATGGGGTGAACATGTCCCATTTGGAACATAAAGTTAGTTATGGTGACTCAGAAAAGGGAAGAGCAGGAGGGGAAGATAAGAGACGGACAAAGAAAAATAGCCTGCATCTGGAGAAAGGACCAAACTTGCGTTAATTCAGGAGGAAGTATATATTATACATCCTGTTCCACATTGTTCAGCTGTTGGAAGCTGTCACGCAATCAGTGAATGTTACAGCAGAGCAATAAGCCTTTGGCCACCAAGTATGCCCTGATGTATTATTCCATAGAAACCACCCAATCTAATCACACTGTCCTGCTCACCTCCCACACTCTTTTTCAAGCTTTTGTCTAATTAACTTCTGAAATATTTTATGGGCCAGAGCCCATAAAACTCAACAACTATAATTTTGCTTCCATTCTAAGGGTAGCTACATAATATCAGGCTGCCGGTTGTAATGAAGAATAAGATTCTAGTTCTAAAGATTGTGCTTTCCACTTTGAGTAGAAATACGTGTAATAATACAGAAATGGGTCAAAGCAAGTGTTTAAGCTCCCCAAACATAGGGCAGTAAGGTACAGGGAATATAGATTGTCACCTGTAAAATCCTGTTTAAAGTTGTGAATCAGAAGAATCACGTTACTGGGCGCAAAGCAGATAACAAATGTCATCAACACGACCGCGGCAATATGTATATATCCAACCCATTTCTCGTTTAATCCGTGCAGTGTTTTGATCACAAGAGTGTAGCAGAACAAAGTGATAATGAGAGGAATTACAAAACCACACACTATGTAGAAGGTCAGGTAATAGAAAAATAAGTTGGTGTTCTGTGTTTCTTCGGGCAAAACATAGTGGCAGGTAACAATATTAAGTTCTTTAAAAAAGTAGGTTTGCTTTAGAAGGACAATCGGCAAAGTGAAGAGAAAAACAACCAGCCAAATAGTAGCGCAAATGTATCCCGCAATGTTTTTCTTGGGTAGGTCTTTGTAGAGAAATGGATGGACAATGGCCAAATACCAATTGATGCTGATGCACGTGAGGAAGAAGATGGAGCTGTACATGTTTCCGTAATAGGTGGCAGTAATGATGCGGCACGTGGCTTCCCCAAACACCCAGTTATTGCCATTGATGTACTGATGTATTATAAAAGGTAGAGTTGCTAGGAAAGACAGATCGCTGATGACCAGTTGATGTTGAAGATGGCAGTAGGTATTGTTCTGAGTTTTGAGCAAAACATCCATAGAGCAATAGCATTTGATGGAAATCCCAGCATAAGTACTGTTGTGTACACTGCTGGAATGAAGGTTGAGCTCAGTGCACTGTTGAAGTACTCTTTGCTGACATTGCCGATGCAAAGCTCAGATGTGTTGTTATTTTCCGGACAGGGAAAAGAGACAAATGTTTTTGGTATCAATTTGCTTTTGGAATCTAGAAGGTGGAAGGGAGAAAGGAAAGAGCATTGTTGAATCATAGCATTCTTTGAGTAGAGAAGGAAGCCATTCATCCCATTTTGCATATAATATTATTAATAATAATAATCCTTGCATTTGATATGGATCATATCAAAGTTGCGACGTCTCAAAATCCTTCATAGAATATACTGTAAAGTAAATTCAATATGATAGGTAGCTTCCAGTTGGGGAGTAAACTCATTGGACCTGTCAACCGTAATGCCATTACTCTGTTCTTTTACACACTATTTTAATATTTTTTTCATATTTTCATCCAATTTCTTTTTAAAATGTTGCATTGTGCTTTAAAATTATTTAATTGAATGAAAAATGCAAGGTTTTAAACAAATCTACTTGTCTTGATCACATGACATATGGATTTAAATTCACAAATACCAGTGTCCAGATCAACTCACAAATGGAAAATGTATACAGCCTATGTGCTCACTTTCCTTTGTTGATGACCTACTGACACTTTGCATATTAAAGTCCTGGAGTGCTGTAGCTCAGTGGTTAGAGCACTTGCCTCGCAAGCAAGAGACTTGGGTTTGATTCCCGGCAGGGTGAAATGTTGGTCAAGTTTTCTTACTACACACACCTCTGTTTACCTAGCAGTAAGTAGGAACCCAGTTGTTAGTCGATTGGCGGAACGCTTTTTCGGGGATAAAAATCCCTCAAGAAAAGAAACAATAATAATTTGGTCACTCACTCCATGACTGTTTGTGGGACACTGCTGTGTGCAATTGGCTGCCACGTTTCTCCCACAAATATACAGTCAATTCACTTTACAGTATATTCTGTGAAGTGCGTGGAGACATCAAGAAGACGTGGAAAGCGCTATATCAAATGCAAGAATTATTATTATTAAATGGACAGCCTCACTTCCCCAAGCCCCACTCCCAGAGAACACAAGTGACTGAAAAAAGAAATTAATTTTACTATCTGAGATTGTCCGTCCTCGCTAGTTCAGAGTGGGCTGGTAATTTAGATTAGATGATTGTCTCGTAACAAACAGGGAGTGGCCGGTGCCAGCCGGTGATTTATAAGATCTTAGAATGTCAGTGCGAGAGTATTCTTGGGTTTGAGATGGTCTTTTAGACCCTCACTTGCAGCAAGAATGTAGGGCCAGGGAAATTGGTGAAATATATTGGACTCAAATCAGAAAACTTTCACTTGAGTGTTGTAAGAGTTTTGTGTGTGTTCGTACATCTTGCAAAGTACAGAATTCAGACTTGATATATTGTATGATGAACTTTAAACACATATAATTACAAATATTCACAATTCTCTTTTACTATAATTGCTGCGTGAGTAAATTTGATGGTTTAGCTTAAATTTATAACATTGTAATCTCCTCTTCAAGTAGACAAGTCTGCACAAATTAACGTCACTTTTTACGAAACAGGATGTAGTGGCTTGAGAAAAGTATTCTTTCTCCCAATTACATTCCTACGCAAAGAACCTGTCAGTAGTGGGAGTGCTGCCATAACCAAAACTAAAGTAACCAATTGAGTGCTGGGTGTTGACCCTCTATTCATAAACATCCCAGCTTGTGCCACTTCTCTGCTGAAATTGCAATGTAAATTTGGTTTTTAATTCTGAACCAAATTCCTGAGGTGGTTTCTATTCACTATTCACTGGGTTTGTACCACAAATTATTTAAAAGAACATTTAAACCTAATTTTTCACTAGGGGCTGGCTCTTCACACTGAGAACAAAGAGGAGAAAAGGGGTTAATCTGACTATCCTCCTTGGAGGAAAAAGGAAGGTAATAATAATAATAATCCTTGCATTTGATATAGCGCCTTCACACATCTTCGAAATATCTCAAAGCGCTTCACAGAATATACTGTAAAGTGAATTGACCATATATTTTGTGGGTGAAACATAGCAGCAGGTTGCGCACAGTAGTGTCCCATAAACAATCATGGATTGAGTGACCAAGTTATTTTTATTTATTTTGAAGGAATTACTGCCCCCCGGAAAAGCGATCCGCAATCGACTAACAACCAGGTTCCTACTTATTGCTAGATAAACAGAGGTGTGCGGAGTAAGGAAACTTGCCCAGTGTTTCACCGTGCTGTGAATCAAATACAGATCCTCTCGCCTGCAAGGTGCAAGCTGTAACAGGCGGAGAAAGCTAAGGTGGAGTTCCTGGGGGTGAACGTGCTCCAACTTGGTCACGGAATATTGAAAGTCAAGCATCTATGGCATTCTCAGTTCAACAACTTGCACTTATATAGCACCCTCCACGCAGGGTAGCATCTCTGAGCACTTATTAGTGGTACAGCCTGATTCCGAGCCCAGGGAGCGTGGGGCGAGGTGACTGTAAACACAGTCAAAAAAGGAAAGTTTTCAGGCGGGACTTGGAAAAGAGGAGAGAGGGGACAAGGCGGGGGGATTGAGGGAGAGTGTTACACAGTTTTGGGGTGTAGTCGCTGAAAGCACGACCTCCAACGGTGGAGCGGAGGATGTGAGGGACGAGCATGAGGCCGGTGCCAGTTGAGTGGAGGCGCCGGTGGTGGATTGGGGAGTGAGGTGCTCGGAGAGGTAGCGAGGTGTCAGGCAGTGAATGGATTTGAACACGAGTGTGAGGATCTTGAAGTCCATCTGATCGGTGATGGGGAGCCAGTGAAGCCTGGCTAGAAAGTTCACTCCTTGAGCCAGGCAGGTCTGCGGTGCTCCAAGTGACTGCTGATGACAGACCAGCCAGTCTGGCTCATCAGCACGACTTGGAAGAGCAGACCTATCACTGGGGGCAGGGATGGGTCTTCACACTCAGCTTGGTCTGGATACTTTTAAACACGGTGATGGGTTTCCTCAGGTGTCAGATCAAAAATAAAGTCACTGCCAAAAAGAAAGTTCCTGCTCCAAATTTCTCTACTGCAGAAAGCAATTTCATCGCTCTCAGCACTTTAGTAACTTAGGATATAATTTGCTTCATTTCAATCAAAATTTACCTCCACTGTAAAAGTATGATTAAAGTTTTAATGTACCGCAAACCATTCCTTGTGCGGGAACAAAGCCCTTCCATTTATGGTACTGGTTGTGGACCCAGTAAAAGATAAAGGCAAAACTATACACAGTTCAAAACATTTGTTGTCTTACAGTCAAATCGATGCATGCAGTTAAAAAGTAATTTGTTGAAGACTTACCTTCCTGGCATAGTGCTGTCTCACAATAAAGCAGAAGTAGAACGAGTACAAGAAACCTCACTTCGGACGGCATTGTGTTTCTGTGCGCTTCCTGCTTTAGACTGTGAAATATCTGGGGCTCACAGAGTTGAGTGGAGTCTGAAAGCTCCACACTTCCTGTGCCTCCAGACCAGACTTGTTTAGAGTTGACTGAGTAACTTCCCCAAGGGAAGTGTCATAGATTAATATAATAATGTATGATTTGGTTATTTCCATGAACGAAGCAGAGTAACAGATTCTTGTTAGTCATGTTTTACGTAGCCAAATTTAAAACAAAAAGCACAGCCTTGTAAAGCGTGGTGACCTCTGAAATCTCTTACAACTATTCTTAAGTTGTTTTTGTCAGACCTCGGTTTTCTTCCTCCGCTGGTAGATTTTAGAAACACTTTCAAATGAGTAATTATAGTTCAGTGTAGGCATTATGAAACAATTATAACTTACTAAAGGAAAAAGTTTCAATTCAATGTTAAATGGTTAGATTAACAGACTCCTACTGATCTGCACTTATCCAATGTAAAAGCTTCACTTAATGAGCTGTTCAGGGCAGAGGATAGACAGAGGTGAGTTATAATAATAATAATCCTTGCATTTTATATAGCACCTTATCACGTCTTCAAGATGTCTCAAAGCGCTTCACAGAATATAATTTAAAGTGAATTGACTGTATATTTTACGGTGAAACACAGCAGCCAATTGTGCACAGCAGTGTCCCATAAACAGTCGTGGATTGAGTGACCACATTTTGTTTTCATTTAGTTATTTTGAAGGAATTATTACCTCCGGAAAAGCGATCCACTAATCAACTAACAACTGGATTCCTACTTACTGCTAGGCAAGCAAAGTCGTGTGGAGTAAGGAAACTTGCCTAACCTTTCGCCCTGCCTGGGAATCGAACCCAGGTTCTCTCGCTTGCGGGGCGAGTACTCTAACCATTGAACTACAGGACTCTGTTAAAAGGGATTGAAAGGATTGCTCTTTCAAGAGACATCATAGACACGATGGGCCGAATGGTTTTCTATGCTGTTAACTTCTATTGTTATTCTATACTGTTGTTCTAATTTCGCTCACAAATATACAGTCAATTCACTTTACCGTATATTCTGTGAAGCACTTTGAGACTTCTAGAATTTATGAAAAGCGTTGTATCAAATGCAAGTATTATTATTATTGTTAAAATTTCTAAAGTGGCTGCATCAGCTAGCAACAGGCAAGAAGTATTGGTGGCAGCAGCACTTATTGTCCATCTTTCTGTGTTACTGTACATTGCATTTAACTATTATTTAATTGCAAATGATTAGGATTATAACTATGCAATAATCATGACACCATGAATAAACAAAGTTACTCCATTCTTTCACTTTATTGAGAGCTAAATACTGATGCTGTTCAATCACAGAGCACAATACTCTAAAGGAAGTAAGAGAAGTGCTTACTGGATATACAAAATTGTTATACCACTTTTGCGAATCACATAACATTGTAATTTATATAACTGCTGGAAATTATTAACCACGACCATTCTGAACTCTCAGAGGAATGTTAGATTTTGTAATAAATCTTAATTATTATAAAGTTGCTATAGTGATGAAACCGGGGACGCTGGGGGAGCGGCGGGGAGGGGGTGTATCCTCAGGCGCTGGGGGAGGGGAGGAGAGGGGGCAGGTCCCCAGGCGCTGGGGAAGGGGCAGGGAGGGGGCGGGTCCCCAGAGTCTGGGGGAGGGGGCGGGGTAGGGACGTGCCTCAGAAGCCCTCTGGCTTGGTTATTTTTCTCCCCTTCTCTTGACCTCAAAACAAATATTTCAAATCTATAATCTGGCTGTATTTAGCACTCCAAGGAGGCTTTCAGATACCAGAGGGCAGCCCGAAAATATAAGGTGGCATCTTGATTATTCATGGAAGCCGTCTACAAGAAAGATTTTATTTTAATACTGTCTCCGTCCTGTGCACTGCTACACCCTCTTTTCCTCCAGAAACTGACTTGACTAGAGCGTGGTTTCACAGGTGATGATAACCCTCTAGAATCTCGCTTCAGGGGCCAGTCATCATATTCGAGACCCAGCTGACTGGCCATTACTGTCTGGATTAGCTTCATGGCAACATTTAGTGGGTAGAATTCAGGAACCCTGGAATATTGAGATCCATTCTAACACCCTACCACCTGTCTAGCTGGCGTTGGTCATCTCTGCACTGTTTGAAGCTGGGACTTTCTGGGTCTAAATTGCTCAGGTTGATGCAATGGGGTGACTTTGTTTGGAAAGTAATGTGCTTCTCTCTTTGCTGAGATGGTGGCAGCTGTTCATGTTGTGAGATGCTAGATGCTCCAAGGTTTGACACTACATATGTCCAGGTAATAATATTCTGGGCCATAGAGTCTTTAGTATCTGAACCTATTTTGTGATCTAAAACACCAGATGATGCTGCAAACTCTCATGGATTTAAATACAGGACTTTAGCCAAGTGTCGTGGCCAGTTGGATTTTCTGGAATTTGATCTTTATTATTTGGTAACATTAAAGTTTAAGTTGTGGGAATTGCAACATGGATATGCAAGATGCTTATCAGCCTGACATGCAATATCTTCATTCCTATACACCTGGGAGGAGGTTTGAGTCAGTGGAGTTTCCATGAATCAGTCTGATGCAGCAGGATATATATTTGTGAATACAGATTGTGAATCTTGTGTTGTGAATCTCAATGGCAACGCAATAGCAACTGAATGGAATCTGTGTACAGTTGTGGCTATAAGTGAATCCTAATGTTAATTTTGTTTAACTCTCCACATACCAACAATTTGACTCAGTTTGCCTACGAGAAAAATCCCATTGGCATGTCTCTTGACCACCGATCCTGTGAATCCCCCTCAGCATGTTGCTTGCCTGTTGTTAGTCTCTCACAGTCCCCTCATAGTGCCCCAAATAACACACCACAGACCAGGCTTTGAGCCTGTAAGCCAATGTTGCTGTATGTTTCCCCATTACATCACTGGAGATGGAAACAGAACTATTAAGAACAACATTCAAAATTGTCTGTGCATCAGTCCCTAATCAATGTGTTGGTAGTGCAACTTGTTACATTGTCAGAGATACTGCCCTTTAGATGAGACATTGAACCAAAGGCTCTTCTGTCAGTTCTCCAGGTGGATGTTAAAGATCCCATATTGCTGTTTGAAAAGGGGAGCGTGTCCTTGAGTACTGAAAAACTCCACATTAATTACTCATTTCATGACTATGTGGGATGCATGGAATTCTCAGTTTGGTCTGGATACTCTTAAGGTTTGTGGTGGTTTTCCACATATGTCACACACTTGGCTGACGAAAAGAAAAACAAAGTTTGAGATTTTTCAACAATACAAATGTTATGGAGATGCATATTGTTAGTAAATCTTAGTAAATTGCTCAAGATTATGCAGTTCCGTTCAACTCTTCTGCTGCTTTGGCCAAGGTTATAGCCACTATACCTATGTGGTGGGTGAACAAGTGAAAATCATGTAGCCCAAGTAAGGCTGCTGCGGGGCAAATTCTAAAAAGGGACAACATTAAAAATTGCATAGGAGTCTATTGTAGGAACAGATATTTTTGAGAAGCGGAATTGACATATCATGCTTGTTTGTCTCAATGACAAGAATTAGAGTTTCAGCAGAAAGGCATGGATGATCTTTTGGAATAACTTCAGAAATCATTTGTGGAGCCCTGTAGCTTTGTGGTCAGAGCACTCACCTCGCAAACGAGGGGACCTGGGTTTGATTCCTGGGTAGGGCGAAATGTTGGGCCAGTTTCCATACTCCATATGCCTCTGTTCAGCTTGCAGTAAGAAGAAACCCGATTGTTAGGCAATAGGCGGATTGCTTTTCCGGGAGTAATTAATCCCTTCAAAAAATCAATAAAAAATAATAATTCTTTGGTCGCTCATTCTACAATCGTTTGTGGGACACTGCTGTGCGCAATTGGCTGCCGCGTTTCACCCACAAAATATACAGTCAATTCACTTTACAGTATATTCTGTGAAGTCCTTTGAGACGTCTCGAAGACGTGATAAGGCACTATATAAAAGCAAGGATTATTATTATTTGTACCGATGGCTGTTTCAAAATTTCTTTTTTTAACGTTGGTTGCTTAGCTAGTTTCAGCTTTCATGTGTTTGGCTCTGGGATTTAACCTGCTAATCTTACTCTATATTTTGAAATGTCAGGTAACTCAGGATGAATTGGCGATGCTGTGGCTGAATGAGATACAGGATGCAATTCACTCTGCCAATAAGGACTCGGAAGAAACTGGTCACTGTAAGTAAACAATTAATTGCAAGTAATTAATTTCATTCCATTGCACAAGTAGAAGACAATGGTAATGATTCCTGGAATGGTTGATTTTGTGTTTATGTAGCTGGTATTTCTTCTCAGGGTGAATTGATGCCATCATTTATCAGAGCTGAATAGAGCCCAGAGATGCCTGTTCTCTCTCTCCCCTCCTCCCCCCCCTCCTCTCAAATCCTGGTTGTAAATAACATTCCTATCACCTAAGCGGTGACTTTAGAGGAGCTTTGCCAGAGCTCTTAGAATACATTGCCTGCCAGTTTTCACGAAGGTGGAACGGATGGACTTGCAAGAATTACCAGAATGAAAAACAAACACTGAAGCATAGTGCATGCAACACCAGTGATCCTTTACGGGTTCAGGAGAAGAACTGATAAATTAATCTAAAAGAAAAAGGCATGAAAGATTTTTTAAAAAAATACACAAAATACATTTACTACTAATATTTTTGCTTTTATTTTAAGTGGCTGTTGCGATAAAGGAGATTAACCTGACGATTGAGAAGGAAGAACCGCAGCTGACCCTGACCTCGTTACAGGCTCCAAACAGCAGTGTGAAAGGGGTTCTACCAGATTGTGCTGAGAACTATCAGAAGGAACTCTTTGAAACAAAGAAACAGAAAGCCGGAGATGGTATACAGCACTCTGAGGGTGTAAAAACATTTTAAAATGTTGTTCTGCTTTAGAAAAAGGGTGCCAGCTATATATTTATATTTTAGTTTTCATACATTTTGTATTTGTGTTTCAAGCTCAAGGGATCCAATCTAAGATTTGAACAGTTTAATTGGGTAGTAGTAAACCAGGAAGCGTTTACCAAGGTCAAAGATTCGTAGAAATTTACAGCGCAGAAGAAACCCATTTGGCTTATTGAATCTGCACAGTCTCTCAGAGTGGCTCAGAGTGGAGTTATAATGAACAATACCAGCATTAATAATAATAATAATCCTTGCATTTGATATAGCACTTTTCACATCTTCTAGACATCCCAAAGCGCTTCACACAATATACTGTAAAGTGAATTGACTGTATATTTGTGGGCGAACGCAGCAGCCAATTGTGCGCAGCAATGTCCCACAAACAGTTGTAGATTGAAAATGACCAATTTATTATTGTTTTGTTTTTTTGGAGGGATTATTATTAGGCGTGTGGAGTAAGGAAACTTGCCCAAGGTTTCGCCCTGCCTGGAATTGAACTCAGGTCTCTCACTTGCAAAGCGAGTGCTCTAACCACTGAGCTACAGGACTCCACTGAAGTTTCAAGACCAGATGTGCATTAGCATTAGCTTTTCTGTTACATTTGAGGTCAGATCTCTAAAGAGGATAATTATTCTTAGCCCGTCCACATCTATTAAAACAGGAATCTTTAGTATTTAAAAATAATACACCTTTTTATTTTCCGTTAATCTTTGTAGGACCCAATGGAAGTGTGTGGGTTACGCACAAGATAAAAGGCAATTATGATTTTTACTACAATTTGGAAACCTCTGAGGGCACATGGGAAAAACCGGAAGAATTTGTGCAGAATAACTCTCATCTTACAAGAGATGAAATACAGGTACTGCCATCATTCAATAAGCTAGTTTTGTATAATGCTCGGCAAGTTCAGAAGCAATAATTAATCAATTAATATTCAATCCAACAAAGTGGTTCAAAATTGTGGAAGGGTTTGAAGAAGGTAAATAGTGAAAGGTGATTTCCTCTGGTTGGGGGATGAGCAACAAGGACAAGATAACTGGCAGTCGTGGCTTTGTTGGAACATAGGAACAGAAGTAGGCCATTCAGCCTCAAGCCTGTTCCTCGATTTTATTAGATCATGGCTGATTTGTACCTCAACTCCAAATTCACGCCTTTGCCCCATATCTCTTGATACCCTGATCCAACAAAAATGTATCCACCTCAGTCTTGAAAATTTTAATGTATCCATATCCACAGCCTTTTGGGAGGGAGAGTTCCAGGTTTCCACTACTCACTACATGGCTTAACACCCAAGCTGAGGGTGGGAGCCGGAGGGGTGGGGAGGGGGGGAGGAAAAGATGACCGAAGACGCAGTTGAAGTGGAAGGTCATGAGATGGACTTTGAAAGAGGTGAGGGAAGGGGCAAATAGGAAAGACTCTTGGATGGATTCCAGAATTCCAGAGCAATTTGACTTTTAAATTCCATCATGTAATTATTGGCCAAGAATATTTAGTCTACATCCAAAACCCAGCCTAACTGTCTTCAAGTTTATTGCATTCTCAAATAGTTGTTTTTGATAAATGGTATTAAAGTTGCACTGTAAAACTTTCAATCTCTTGACATCATGTAAATTATTTCTCAATAAGCAGCAATCTGTCAATCTGTTAATATACATGTTTTCATTCTTTACTCACTACGTTACGGAAATTCCCAGGGACTACTGTTTGGTTGTATTTTGATAGACTCTCTAATTGCCTTCGCTATTACATACAATGCTTACATCTTACGCTAAACATCCAGTTATTTCTCTAATGTTTTTGGAAACATTGGTACTTTTGAAACCACTGGACGTCAGTGTGTCCTGTGTATTTGTGACTAATCCATTTCCTCCAGATATCCTGAAGTCTGTGGAGTGAAGGTTCAAGATCTTTATACTGTATGAGCTCATATAGTTATCCCGTCACACCTTCTCATTGTATTCTTCTCTCAAACTGGTGGATTATTTAATTGATACCTTATCAACATGAGTCATGTTTGTGACAAAAATAAAAGTTGCTGGGAACACTCAGCGGGTCAGACAGCATCTTTGGAGAAAGGAAAGTGAGACAACGTTTCGGGTCCGCGACCCTTCTTCAGAACTGACAGACCCGAAACATTGACACACTTTCCTGTCTCCATAGTTGCTGCCTGACTGGCTGAGTGTTCCCAGCAACTTCTGTTTTTGTTTCAGATTTCCAGCATCTGTAGTATTTTGCACTTTGAGTTGTGTTTGTGCTGTTCTGATGAAGACAGATTCAGCACCGTGCTGGCAACCAGAGGCACAAGCCCATATTTTTATGCTGTAACACTACCCCACCAGACATCATGATCCCCTAGTAACAAAACGTGCTAGGACTTGATAGAAAGAACAGGTCTGGGAAAATCTACTGCTAATGTGTAAAAAGGACAGAATGACAGAGAACCTCTATTAGAAAGATTGTTTTGTTCTTCATTGGCAAAAAACCTGGTCTATAGGCTGGTTTTGTATATCCAGTGGAAAGTTGAAATTGGAAGATTGATTGGATTAATCTCTGACGACCCTATTTACCAATTAGACGGCCCAGGTCAAAGGTCTACGCGCCAATAAGTTGAAAGATAATTTGTGGCTGGAGAGAGCACAGATTTCACCCCTCCCTAGGATATTACATTTTAAGCAAAAACTTAGAAGTTCAAAAGAAACCAAGAAGAAGTTGGATTCAGATTGCTGCTGCTCTTTGGTCAGGAATATCTTTCCAGTCTACAATAAACTTGCCTTGGTTTAATAACAAGAAGAATAGATGCAATCTTGACTGAAACAGAAAGAATCTGCTTACCCTTATGAGATATGCTGCTACCTAGTGATTGTCTTTCAGCGCCTTTGGACGTCCTCTCGCCGTGAAAGGCGCTATACAAATGTAATCTTGTTGTTGTTGTCTATGCTAGTATAAATTAATTGGATTAAACCTTGGTATAGTTTATTAACTGTGTGACATTTGCTTGTTTCTTTCGTTTGCCAGGATATTGTTGCAGGATAACAACAGAATATCATCGCAAGAAGCTCTGGTTAGCAAATGAAGATCAAATTATTCGCCTGCAGGCCTGTGCAAGAGGCTACCTTGTAAGGAAGGCTTACAGAGAGCGCTTGAGCTATCTCAATGAACAGAAACCGTCTGTCATCAGGCTGCAGGTGTGGCTTCAGACTTCCATTTAAGACAATAAAGTACTGAGATGGGAATAGGAGAAAGAAGGTGTTTGACTCAGATTAGTGCTGCTCTTAGGTCAGGAATCTCTAAATGCTCTCATGTGCTGGACGTTTGGGGTTTACAAAGGTCCAATCAAATTACTCATGAAATGTGCCATGTTTTAAACAATAACTAAATTCTAAGGTGATAACATCTTGGAGAGCTTCACAGTGGCTGGCTTGGAAGCTAAGCAAGGGATATGGGGAGGGGGTGTTGATTGCAGGTGCAGTCTAAGAGAAAGGTTTCTAAGGTGGGATTTAAAGATAGAAAGAGGGCAAGATGAAGGGATGGAAACAGATAGGTCCAGAGGTTTGGAGCAAAGTTACTGAAGGCTTGGCCACCAGTGGGGGCACAGAAGGGGCAGGGAGCACGCAGCAGGCCTGTGTTAGCTGAGTGGAGGGGATGATTAGAGGAGTGAAATTGGAGCAGATCAGAGAGATAGAAAAATGTTAGTAAAATGGTTACTCTAAGTGAAAGTTTGTAACTGCGAGGGGAATAAAGAATGGATACAAGCGATCATTTGTGTGCTTTCTTTCGTTCAGTCTTCTTGGAAAGGATACAAACAAAGAAAATCTTACAAGGAGAGACAAGAGTTCCTGCGAAAAAATACAGCAGCTATTGTCAAGGTGACTCATTCAGGATTTTGTATTTTCTTCAACTTCTTGTAAGCACGTATGCTTGTTCTCTTTCTGGAATTTAAAATGCTACATTGGATTGATATAATGAATGTGCAGACAGCCACATTGTCACTGATTCCAAGGCAAAAGTTAAGGAACTGTTTTACTCATTACATATCAGAATAATTCAAAGTGGTTTATAAAATCTGTCTATGTTTCTTAGATCCAATCTTTTGTGAAGATGTGGAAAATAAGGAAAGCTTTTCGCTCACAGCTTCAGTACTACAGAGACCATGTAAGTTGCTTCCTGTCGCACAGGAGTTTTAACGTACAGTTGGCATTTTAAGCATTAGTCTGAGAAAGAGAGACAGTACCCTCAAATTTTTTATAATATTGGTGCGATCTTTAGTCTGTAGCTTAGATTTTCACTGCACAACTGAATGCCTGGAAATGTCTATGCAAACCTGCTGTGCCCATTCTCTTCAGTGGTGCTAAGGTCTCCTGGTAATCCCTCCCCCTCCCCCCCCCCACGAGAAAGAAAATAGTTAGAATAGGAAAATATGGTATGGGTCAACGTACAACAACTGAAGCGTAGACTGGAAAATGCATTTTTTTATCTGGATTTTGAAAATACAACAGAAATATACATAGCGGGGTCTAATTTTCAGCTTGTAAAAGGATTTGCAAATATCAGATACTATAAGTACCCCGATTGATGTATCTGAAGCAGACTTTCAGGATCTCCATGTCACTTTCCACCCCTTTCTACTGTTCATTTCAGATTGGCTGTTTCTCTTTGAAGCACTGCTCTTTCTCAGTTTACATGTAATGCTGCCTCACCTGCAGCTCTTAGTGTTTACGCACCACATTCAGCAGGGGACTGTCAGAGCTGACTGCAGAGAGGAAACTCTCTTTAACTTGAAAAATTACTTTTTTTGAGCATTTTGTTTTGACAATTAACCCTTAAAATTATACTTCTCATGAAAAGAAAACTGGTGCAATTGTAATATGGAATTACTTTCATATTTGTTATAAACAAACATTTTTCTCTCCTTGCAGACAAAGGACATCATTAAAATTCAGGCTTACCTCAGAGCAAATAAAGCCAGAGAGGATTACCGCACGTTGAGTAAGTCGTTAAACAGAGTTTGCTTAAATCTTATTTTAATAAATCGTTTAATTGCCTGAGTTGTGCATGCACCCGAGTCCCATTCAGTTTCCCAGGTACCTACATTGTGTACTTCAATGCTGGTAAGTGCTTATGCGGCGACAGGTCAAGACTTGATTTCCCGCGCTTGTTTCAAACAGAGCACTACACATGGGTACTTCAATGCAGACAGTAAGTGTACATGCATTAATGGGTCAGAACTTAATTTCACATGGATCAATGCATCCGGTAAGTGTGGAAGCGGCGTTCTGAGTTAGGAGACAGTTTATTTTACAAAATACGACGAGTAAATGTGTTTTTGTAGCAGGAAACTGAATGGGATATGCTTGGTATCTGGGATCACAAATGGTGAATGATTTTCAAGGTACTGGAGCGTTCCTGGCATTTGTGGAACTACCCCTCAGTGTGGCTCATGTAGTGGGTGGGAGAAAATACAGGCAGTGTTTTAGGGTTGGAAGGGGGGTGATGATGGGGCAGGAAACACCAACAATTATACATCACAGAATCGCTCCTTCAGCTTCCAGATTTCTAGACTATGTTGTGACTGATTTGCCCTGTGCCTGTTTCCTCTCTGCAGTCAGCTCTGACAGTCCCCCGCTGAATGTGGTGCGGAAATTTGTTCAGCTGCTAGATCACAGTGACCTGGACTTTCAGGAAGAGCTTGAGGTCACGCGGTTAAGAGAGGAAGTTGTTACCAAAATCCGATCCAATCAGCAGCTAGAGAAGGATCTGAACCTGATGGACATTAAGATCGGGCTTCTCGTGAAAAACAGGATCACATTGGAGGTATGTCTGCTCTCTTCCTACACTTCCTCCTCCTGCTTGGTTTGTAGCTTTCCTAAATAAAAGCTTCTCTGTTGACCAGCGCCCGAATCCCAACCAGTGTCATGCTTGAATCCAATTCCCAGGGATGTTGCAACTCAAGGAGCTCTTAAATGGTGGGATGCCAGAGGGAAACTGTAATTTCCACCCCCTCCCAACCCACTTTCTGGCTCGGTGACAAGCCACTCCACTGTTAAGTGCTCCGTGACGCTACCCTCCGTGAAGGGGGTTGTGTTTTAGTGACATCCACGTTATAAAAACATGTTCTACTGGGAAATCACAATGTCCTGCCAATTTATGAGACATCAGTCTGAGATGAATTGGGTTAGAGCCAAGGTCTTCCTTGAGGAATAGGGGCTTCCCAATAGAAAAGCAGCTCACACGGTTCTTTCGCCAGCAGTGCTTTTTGACCTACAGCCAAATTAAACCGTAGAAATTCATAGCATATAACAAGGCCATTCAGCGCATTTACAGAGTCTCTACATTTTACATTAAACGCTTTGAGACATCTTCCTGAAAGGCGCTATATCAAACATGAGGATTATTACATTTATTTTTTATTTATTTTCCCCATACCTCTGAAATTACTCTTTATCTAGTTCTCTCCTGAAAACTACTATGTTTTGATTACTGCTCCTGACAGGAGCATATCCTGACAAATCCCTGTGTTTTAAAAAAATTCCCCCTAATCTTTCTTTTCGCTCCTTTGATGTCTATTTTAAAATCATATGCTCGAGTCACTGACTGAAAATCTCCTATCAAGAACACTCATAATTTTAAAGATCCTTATCAGATCTTCCATCAACCTTCTCTGTTCCAGTAAAAATAGGCCCAGTCCCCCATCTCTGCTCATTGATTCATTATGGACAATTTCCTCTGCACCCTCTCTGTGGGCCTGACATTCTTCCTAAAGTGGGTTGATAAAAATGAGCACATTATCTGCAGTCTAACAAACGATTTATATCGCTTAAACATAACCTCTTTGGGTTTATATTCTATGACCCTGTTTATAAAACCAAGGATCCCATGACCCGAGAGCACTCGCCTTGCAACTGAGAGGACCTGGGCTCAATTCCCAGGCGGGGCGAAACCGTAGGCAAGTTTCCTTACTTCACATGCCTAGCACTAAGTAGGATCCTGGTTGGTAGTCAATTAGCAGATTACTTTCTAGGAGTAATGATCCCTTTTAAAAAATAATGTTGTCTCTCATCTACGACTGGTTGTGGTACACTGCTGTGCGCAATTGGCTGCCACGTTTTGCCCACAAAATACACAGTCAATTCACTTTACAGTATATCCTGTGAAGGCACCTCAACGACATGATAAAGCATTGTATCAAATGCAAGGATTATTATTATTATTACTAGCTTTTTTCACAGCTTTGTCCATCTGCCTTCCCAACTCTAAAGATTTATGTATATTAAGCAGCCACTGAGTCCACCATTAATTGTTACTCCTGTGGCACAAGGAATAACAAGTCTGTCTGTTATGGATTTTGAGGGGTTAGAGAGGAGGAAGCCCATATGTGGCTGCCAGTCCATACAAGGACATCACTGCTCTGCATATGTTTTTTTTGCAAAAGAAACTGAAGGCAAGAGTTGCCCAGAAATATGTAATGTTCAGAATGACTTAATTAGAATACACCAGAATGATTTCTGGAGATGGTTTGCCGTAAGTTGACTCACTTACTAAACAGTTTTCAAAATGTTCTATCCACAGGATGTTATTTCCCACAGTAAGAAATTGAATAAGAAGAACAAGGGCCAGGGGCAGGATGTAATCTCTGGCAATAAGCAGGGACTGAAGTCCCTCAGCAAAGAGAAGAGGAAAAAACTGGAAGCGTATCAGCATCTCTTTTACCTGCTTCAGGTAGCAACAAGTGGTTTATTTCAAAGTAAAATGGTGGCCTAGTTCCAAGTGGCTAATTGTTGTTTGTGACATTGTTGCCCTGTGTCTTATTCCTCTACATATGCCAATTTCACTGTAGATTTTGCTCTTGAAAAAACCCGCACAAGTGTTGGTTCATGCCATCTCCATACAATACAATTAACATTTATACAGCACCTTTCACATGGGCCGGACATCTCAACGCTCTTAATCTCAAGTTGTGAATATCGAAATATCACAAAGAAATGTGATGTTGGAAATCAGCTGTCAGCGATTACTGTAGCAACTCCTGATTAATACCACTGAGATATTTGGCAAAAAGGTGCACAACTGGTACAGTGAAGTACTTTGACACCAGCATCTCACCTTCCGCCTCTCACCCATTGCTGTTTCCTGCCTGAGTTCAGAGAGTGAGCACTGAGCTTCTCATATCGGGCGTGACACTGAGGGAAGGAGACTTATTGTCCTGTGCGCTCTAAGCAATGCTCTCAAGCATTGTCTGGATACTCGAGTTCATGTTGCTTGTCACGCAGCACCCTCAATTCTAATTGGTGTCCTGAACAGATGAATAACATCTTCTCATGTAAATGATTATGAAAATGTATCCGATTTTTACCTTTTAAAAATCTACTATTGTGTGTCCTTCGGATAAGATGTTAAACCAAGGTCCTGCCTGCCTGTTCAGGTAGATGTTCCTGCATAACGTTCTGGTGAACAGATAACAACAGCAACAACTTGCATTGGTATAGTGTCTGAGTGTCGTGGCAGCTTATATTGCGGCAGAATTAAAATGCCCAGCAGTAGGTTGCAAAACCCAGTATGACAGTGCTGACTTGCGCCCCCTCCACCAGCCCCGGCAGCCTTAGGTTGTATGCAGTTTGATGTGTTAATCAAGCAAGTCGTGCCTCAGAGAAAGCACATTTATTGTGTAAACCAAATACTCAAGAGTCTTATTTTCTATGAGGAAGCCAAACTTATGATCTTGGTGCATCTCGATCGAATACTTCATTTTTCTTGTCTGCCTATGTCAAGAGAGAGGGAATTACAGTGACACTAGAAATACATTTAGCAAAGGTGTAACTGCTGGAGGGATTAAGGTGTCTTAGTTCTATTGCTGTTCATTTCCCAGGAATTCATACATGAATCTCATAAAGAATTTGCATTTAGTTCCGTAAACTGATACAGTGGTGCATAAAGATGTATATACACAACCACAAAGAGCTTTGAATAATTTTACCTGCTTTTTGTTTCTTTTCTCTCTCCTAGACCAATCCTACATATTTGGCCAAACTGATCTTTCAGATGCCTCAAAACAAATCAACTAAATTTATGGACACTGTCATTTTTACATTGTACAACTATGCCTCAAACCAGCGAGAGGAATACCTGCTGCTAAAACTCTTCAAAACTGCATTGGAGGAAGAAATCACGTATGTGCTGAATTCCCTTCACTTTTCTCCTGTTCCTTCCACTTTGGTATTCAGCCAGAAGGGCATTAATAATAATCCTTGCACTTCATATAGAGCCTTTCACAACAGGACATCACAACACTTGTAATGCTCTTGCTATTTACTTGGATGATATATCCACAAACACATACAAAGGATTAAATCCTGGTATTCTCCAATCATTAATTAACCATGCAGTGTATTCACCCAATGACACATTGCAGATGAGTTAGCGAATAGTGATCCCAACTTCATTAATTGAGTTACTGTGCCACTCTGCCAAGGTCTGTTCTGCACATTTATTGTAATGCGCAGCAACATTTTAGTTTCTTTTCACTGACCAGTTTCACAGTCTGCAACTATAGTTTGGGATCCTTTTCTTCAGTTACCTTATTTATATTATTCATTTCATATAAACCTTAACTTTCTAATTGTTTTAGTACAGATATTAAACTTTGAAATTCCTATACTTGAAAAGATACTGGAATCTGTATCTCTTTATAATACTGGAGGCATCTTTCTTTATAATACTGTGAGTCAATTCAATCAAACATCTTTTTCTATTAAATATATTGCCATAATCCTGTGGCATTGAAAAGAAGTGTCCTGGCCAACAATTCCCACAGATAAAATTGATCATTCACTTCATGGTTGTTTGTGGAACATTGTTGTGTGCAAATTGGATGTTGTGGTTACTGCATTTCACATTAAATTTTGCAAAGCACTTTGAGATCAAATGCAAGGATTTTTATTTGTACAAGTATCTGTATTTTTTGTGGTGGGGTGGTGATCAGCTGGGTGTCTGACGCATGCTTAAACCATTACCAAACCAAACTGATAATTACATGCATTCCACTTATGCATGGAAATTCCAGAGATGGATTGTTGGAATGAAGGGGTGCATCCTGCTTACCCAATTCCAGAAAGTATTAGCACAAGTTGGCAAGAGCCAAGCCTTGAAGATGTCAGAGTGTGCATTGGGGTACTGCTGAAGTCTAACTGTCTAAAACCACATAGTTTACCATTGATATCACTGTCTGGCAATCTTACCCGCTGGTTGTCCAGCTGGGACCACACTACCCGTTAGGACTTTGGCTTGCAGGGTTAACAGGAGCTGAGTGGGGTGAATCCCTGCGCCCAGTGACTAGTCTGCCCTACCAGGTACTGAGAATGAGCCAGGCTGGCCTGGCTGTGCTGTCATCAGCAGTGCCTTGGAATACTGCAGTCCGACTGGCTCAGGAACCGGATTACCGAGACTACCACAGAGCTCTGGCTTGATTCCGACATTCTGTTGCCAAGCATGTCAAGCATAATGTTTGTTATTCTATTGTGTAAACTAATATTGTAAACATATTGTTGAAAAAACAAACTCTGCTGTGTTTGGGCAATAAGCATTTCTCAAATGTTTTTGTTTAATGCAGAATAACATTCAGTGTGAGATTACTCGGGATTCAAGTCCCAATTTTTATGCTAAGTATTTAAAATTGCAGCTTTCAATTAAATGTTTTTAGTTGGCATATGCGTATTACAATGTAAAAATAAATTGTTAGTTACCCTGGTTTACATACTTATTAACATTGAATTAAAATTGCAAGAGCTTAAAAGAAAAGTTAGGTTGAAGAATATTCATTTGATCTCTACAGAATGCTGACCCATCCTCTCCCATTATAAGCATCAAGCTGTTCCTTAAAGTAGTCCTGTGTATTGGCTTCAAACAGCCTTCCTGGTAACCCCATCCTAACTATTCTTTGCCTTTTTCTGTGAAGAAATACTTCCCTGTTTCTGTCTTAAGGTTGTCCCTCACAACTCTGAACTGTACTCTGTTTGAATCCTGTTGGTTCATTATTGCTTAATGCTAAATTACCTGCTTCTTTTATTTTTAAAGCAATTGCAGAATTTAGGGTATTGTGTTACAAAAAAAGTTAACTTTGGAATAGGTTTTGGAGAATTCCAGCTGACTTTGCTCATGTCTTGTGTTTACTTTAAAGGTCCAAAGTGAACCAGGTGCAAGACATTGTCACTGGAAACCCCACAGTCATTAAAATGGTGGTCACCTTTAACCGCAGTGCACGTGGACAAAACGCACTCAGGCAATTGCTCGCTCCAGTGGTGAAGGAAATCATTGAGGATAAAAACCTTTCAATAAACACAAACCCGATTGAGGTCTACAAGAACTGGGTGAATCAGATGGAGATGCAGACTGGGGAGGCCAGGTTGGTGACCAGATCATTGGAAAGTTAGTGCTTTTTTCCAGCGGTATCACATTTGGTTTCTCAGCTGCACCAGAAATATTTTTGAGTAAAATTCATGGATCGATTGTTGTATCATCTAAAATTGCAAATAACCAAAATTAAGGGTCAGTATATATCAGTGGTTTCTATTCAAATATTTCATTTTATCCCAGTAGCATATAACCATAGAAATTGCAGCACAGAATGAGGCTATTGGGCCCATTGTACCTTTGCTGACTTTCTGAAAGAGCTAAGCATTTAGTCCCATTCTCATGCCTTTTCTCCATACTCCTTTATAATAATAAATAATAATAATCCTTGCATTTGATACAGCGCTTTTCACGTCGGGAGGACATCCCAAAGCGCTTCACAGAACACTCTGTAAAGTAAATTGACTGTATATTTGTGGGCGAACGCGGCAGCCAATTGCGCACAGCCATGTCCCACAAACAGTCGTAGATTGAAAATGACCAATTTTTATTATTGTTTTTGATTTTGGAGGGATTATTATTAGGCGTGTGGAGTAAGGAAACTTGCCAAGGTTTCGCCCTGCCTGGAATTGAACTCAGGTCTCTCGCTTGCAAAGCGAGTGCTCTAACCACTGAGCTACAGGACTCCTTTTCAGATATTTACTGCAAGGGATTGATTCAGCCTCAGAAGTTAGTATTCTGGGACAGTCTGTTTTCTTCAGTTTAGTTATCGTTTTTCTGCTTAACCACTCTGCAAGAAGGAATACAGTACTAAAACTAAAAGTAGAAGGGAAAAGATGGTACTTTGTGTTTCCTGACTTGGCCAGTCATTGCTTAATATTAATTAATATTGTCCTGGAGGAATTTTCAATCCTCTTGAATTGATCGGTTACACGGTGTGAAATGCAGTTTCTTTCAGTGTTGCTAGATTTATAGCTCAATGCTACTTACTATTCAGTGACTTGGATTAAATATGCCCTCAAGCAGAGAAGTACTTGATAGTTGTTAGATTGTATTCGTCAGTGCTACCAGCTAGTAACAGATATGCTGCTAGTTAAATTGTGAGCCATTCTTCGAAGCCAGTAGCCCTTCAAGGTACTATTTTAGGGGTGTTAGGTGTCTTGCTCTCTTTTACCTCCGGAGCTTTGTTCAGTATTGTGCTGGAGCTTTCTTTGCAGGGCAAAAATCTAAGTAAGGTGGAGTACTTTTGTCCTTTGCATCTGTTGGCAATAAGAAAAGGGAATTGCTGTGTCTCAAAAATGACTTCAGTAAAAGCTGAAATTGAAACAGGAACTGGTTCAATCCAAAAATAAACCAAAGACAACAGCTGCACGTAGCCTTGAGCTAAATGTATGCCAGACACCTCCAGCTGTGGCTGCCTTTGTTGAGAAGAAAAGAAGCTTATGTGGAATTTACATAGGAAATGGGAATCCATATGGTTCAAGAAGCTGCGTTCCATGTGTCTCGTTCACTTGCTTTTTCTACCATTTCCCTTCTTCCACCCCCCACCTCACGATTGGTACATTTTCCATAGTACAGGGATGGTAACTTGAAAAAATGAAAACATTTCTTCATCAAAGTGAATATTCCGCCATGTTGTTGCAGAGTTGTGCTTGACTTTCTGATGCTGTGGGTGCATATTTGAGCTAATATTAAGTTGCTTTTGTGCCTGCAGTAAACTGCCATACGACGTAACAACTGAGCAGGCCTTATCGCATGCTGAAGTGAACACGAGGCTGGAGTCCTCCGTCCGCAGCCTGCGGGCAGCCACTGATAAGGTTCTTGCTTCAATTTTCACATCGTTGGATAACATTCCGTAAGTAGCAAATACCATGGAACCCAACTAGCCTCTTAATCTGAAATAATTCAAAATACGAGAGAAGCCCATTGTAAATTTCCATGATTCTATAGCGTGTTTAGTTGTAACTGGAGTTTCCTCACAGTATAATTGGAACAACGTAGAAACCCGACCATTGGTCATGCAAAGTTATAAGACTGGTTGGGATATTATGGACCTTTTGACGACCCCATTATAACAGGTTCTACTCTGTTGAAAATGGGAACTGTGTCAATTCAAAAGTTGCTGTTTCCCAATCCTATAATAGGCAAAAACTTCTATTGCATTTTAATGTGAAATTAAGCATTTGGTCTCTTTCACATTATCACAAAAGAAATAGCAGCCAGGCACATTGACTCACTTTTTCTACCATTTCCCCTCCAAGCACCACCCCCCCACCCCCTTGGATTAGTACATTTTCCATAGTTCAAGGATGGTAACTTGAATAAATGAGGAATATTCCGTCCACATTGTCACATTCCTGTTTAACATCTCTCACTGGAGCGTGCATACCTGAGCGACCATTTGGTTGCTTTTGTGCCAACAGTAAATCAAATACTACTGATCATCATCTTGTGACCTCAAAGCCACTCTCGCGAGTCAATGTGACTTGCGGTGTTCTTTTCCAGAAACACGATTTACATTGCAATGACTTTTTGGCGGTTATGTGGCAGATACACAGTTCAAATGCTTTTCCAATGTTTGTCTTTGTTTACTCAAGCTTCAAGGAACTGAACGATCATAAAACCAGTTACATAAAGTGTTGTTTAGAAAAACTTTTCTTGACTCAACTACTGGTAGATCACTTGGGAAACTGCCATTTACCCAGTTAGTTGCACCAAACTACACATTGTGAAAGTCCATTTTATTCACTGTAATTATTTAACTTGGGAAATCCTTCAGGTTAACCTTTCCAAGGCAGCTTATCCCAAATGCAAGGACGGTTATCTCGAAGCAATTTTTATGTTGTTTCCTTTCCAGCAGAGGGCAGTACATCACTGTACAACAAGTTTACTGCTTCGGTAAATGAGATGTGTTGGTATAGAGAAGTGATTTTCATGTAAAAACTGTTTTAAAAGCAGTACGTTTGTTGTTTAGTTCATGTTCAATGCAAACAACCTTTTATTTGACTGTGTCTATGTTTTGTTTGAAACCCATTATTCCACCAAAGTTTTTCACCTTCTCTTTGTTTCAATCCATTTGTCTGTATGTAGTTATGGAATGAGGTACATAGCCAAAGTTCTGAAGAACTCACTTCATGAGAAATTTCCCGATTCCACTGAGGATGAACTGCTAAAGGTAGCTCTACACAAGTCTTAACATTAGCTCTTACTTTCTGGCTCTGTCCAAGCCTTAACATTAGACATTAATTACTTGGCTCTTTACAAAACTTAACATAAAGTTTTGCTTCTTTAGCGATATATAAGGTTTAACATTAGATAAAATCTTCATCTCTATACAACTTCTGTGATTTGGATATTACTGTACAGTACTCTTCTCAATACAAATCTTCAACTTTAGATATTACAATGAAACCCATCATAAAACGCTTCATCTAATGCGGGTTCACTTATCACGTGGGTGGTGTGTGGACCCTACTTTTTAGCTTAACCAAATAATGCAAAATGCATGCGCTGGCTCTGCCTGTGATATTTCACATCCACGGTCTGTTGGCTGAAAGTCCAATGGGACATGGACTGGCTGACTGAATGGTGTGTGGGAGGAGAGAAGAGGTCATACTTGTGGCCAGTCATTTGTTATCAACTGACCTTTTGATGGCATTTTATCAGCTACATAATAAACGATACTGGTGATACCACATTGCAGGTCACAATGTTTCACCCCAATACACGTTGCTAAAATTATTTGTTTGGCTTTCTACAAATCTCCACCATGAGATACATCCTCAGTTAGGACTGACTGAATTGTTAGCCAGATCCTGGACAGTTTTTAAATCACCCATTGTAATAACTTACACATAAACTGTCATTATGATAGGTTTGCAATAAATATTTTAATGGACCATGATTTAATGTTCGGTTGACCTTTTTTCATTGCTGTCAGATGCAATGCAAAAGTGATATTGGGTTAGCTCTTTGTAAGGAAACTCATTTTACAAGAAATGAAACTTACATTGATCTCATACAATATAAAATATATAAAATATATAAAAATATAAAATATAAAAGAAAATAAACTTACATTGATCTCATACAATATAATATATTAATCTCATACAATATAAATCAGGATTTATTGTCCTTTTAAAAATAAGGCAATGATGCTAGATTTCATTTCAACCGTGCTTAGATTTTTTACAGACAGCTACTCTCAACAATAAAAAATTTTGTACGTATGATGTATCTTAAATCACTGCTGACAGTGTAGAATTACATAGTTGGGCAATCTTCCAGTGTTTGGTACTTGTGTGTTCTTGTTCTTGCATTTTTCCTCTGTTATCAACTCTGTTATCTTTTTTTGTGTGCAGTTTCTTATCCAGTTTCTTGTTACTTTCTAAGTCCTCATCTGTTGAAGGATTTATAGCTCACCACCAGCCATAGGAATGAGCTGAAATAAAAACAAACCCTGGAAATCCAGTGTCAGTCGATCAGCACCTGAAAGGGAAAAATAGGTTTGGCCTTGATCCTTCTTTATCAGAGCTGGAACATGATCTGGGGAGGCCCTTATCTAGAATAAATCAGGGCAAATTAGCTTGAGACTACTACCCTCTCCCCACCCTTTATCCTATGTGGAATCCTCCCCACTGTTTCAGTTCTAATGATGATGCATCATTCCCCAAACCATATGCTTTTCTCCTTCAAATGTTGTGTTGTGCTGTGGAGTTCTAGCATTTATTTTGTGTTGTAATTGTCTGCTGGTAATCTATAACCCACGTTCGCCCACAAATATACAGTCAATTCACTTTACAGTGTGTTCTGTGAAGCGCTTTGGGATGTCCTCCCGACGTGAAAAGCGCTATATCAAATGCAAGGATTATTATTATTATTATTATAACCCTACATTCATACAGGGCACAGAGTATTCCATCCCACGCTAAATACAATTCCTCCTGGGGGGACGGGGAGGTAAGCGGGTTCTCCGTGGTGCTGAACTGGCTCCAAGGTGAGATGCCTGGCAATAGAATGTCGGAATCGAGCCAGCCCTCTGTGGTGGTCTCAGTAGTCCGGTTCCTGAGCCAGGCCAGTATCCTGGGGCACTGCCGATGACAGCACAGCACTGGCTCATCAGCAGGACCTAGAAGGGCAGACTAATCACTGGGCGCAGGGACTCAGCTCCTGTTATCACTGCAAACCAAGGCTCTAATGAGTAGGGTGGTCATAGCTGGACAAGCAGCGGGAAAGCTTGCCAGACAGTGTTATCAATGGTAAGCTTAGCTGGTTAGACTCCAGCAGTACCCCAATGGACAATCTGGGGTCCCCAAGCCTTGGCTCTTGGCCTAATACTTTCTGGAATTAGGTAAGCAGGATGTGTCCTTTAAGGGAGAGAGTGCATTCTCATTCCAACAATCTATCTCTGGGATTTCCATGTGTAGGTGGGATGCAAGGAAATTCAAGTTTGGTTTGGAAACTCTTAAGCATGCTGATGGGTTTCCCGCATGTGTCAGACAGACAGCTGACCAAAACAAAACTAAATACAATATTACCACAGTACGTAATGTGAAAAAAATATAGAACAAAATGTTTGTGTTGGCTTAAATACTGAATATCAACAACATCCACGTCACACTCATGGGTGTAGGAACTCTGAAGAATTGTCTGTGTGCAACGTTGCAAAACCGGTTTGCCGCAAAGTACATGTAAGGGCTACACGTTGGAAATGCTAGCTGCAAGTTCTCTTCAAACAAGAATTAGAGAGTGTAACCACGTTTCAGAAATGTAGGGAAGTTCTGAACGTTTTGAATTCATTCTCCTTTGTAAAAAATAGACACTTTGAAGATTAGAATGTTATAAATTGACAATTACATCTCTGATATCAGCTCACGTAATCTTTCATTGTTTACGTCACATCTGTTGCGCTTTCATTGCTGCTGTTTGTCATGGAACCGACTGCTGCCAAAACAAACAATTCAGCATCAGAATACATTCCATGAACATGATTAAAGCCAGATGGCCTACAAGCGGTAAATATCATTTAATTTGAACACACAAAGATGAGATTGGAAAATAAATCATGGGAATCTAAACTAAATGTTACTCTACAGGGTACAACAACAACAACAACAACATTACATTTATAGAGCGCCTTTCACGTCGGGAGGACATCCCAAAGCGCTAAACAGTCAGGTGTTGGGGCCTGAGCATGGGGGAGGGGTGGTGTAGGGGTGAGGGAAGGCAGAGAGGTGGGAGGGAGTCCAAAGGCACTGTCGAAGAGAAGAGTCTTGAGACACGATGCAACAAAGGGATTTGGAGATACCTGGTAGATAAATGGCTCACTCAAACTGTACCCCTTCAAGAATCTGTGTTCTGAAGAGAAGGATGAGGGACTATTGGCAAAAACAAATTACATGTTACCGAGAACTTAAAATCACTGAACACTTGGTATCTGACACTCCATACTACCTGCAATGCATTTGGATGAAAGCCTTCAGTTTCTATGTGTAGTATCGATCATCACACATTTATCATTCGAAGCATGGTTACCCAGAATGAAACTCTGTCTTTTTATAATGAAAGTGAAACAATGTTGTCCTGATGATTTCAGTGTTATTTAATTCCTTCTATAGATTGTAGGGAACCTGCTTTACTATCGCTACATGAACCCAGCCATTGTAGCACCTGATGGATTTGATATTATTGATGTCTCGGCTGGTGGGCAGCTACATTCTGACCAGCGGCGGAACCTGGGCTCTGTGGCCAAAGTCCTGCAGCACGCTGCGTCCAACAAGTTGTTCGAAGGAGAGAATGCACACATGTCACCCATAAATGACTACCTGTCGCATACGTACCAAAAATTCAGGTAGGCTGCAGTGCATTAAATGTGTTGGTGGTTGATGGTCACAAAAATGTGCTGCTTTGAAAATTACTATTTTGTAGTTGTGCAATTGTGCAGCGCTTCGGGATATTCATGTGTGTCAGCCTGGCGCAGTGCCTCTAAGTCAGAGGTTGTGGGTTCAGGGCCCATGTCAGGACTTGGAATTGCATAGTCTAAGCTGATACTCCAAAGCAGTGCTGGGGCGTGTGTTGCATTGTCGGAGGTGCTGTCCTTTGAGACGTTAAACCGAGGTCCGGTCTGCCCTTTCAGGCGGATGTTAAAGATCCATGGCACTAATCAAAAAGAGAAGGGAGTTTCTCCTGGTGTCCTGGCCACACAATAAAAGATTGATCACTCACTCCATGGCTGTTTGTGGGACATTGTGATGCGCAACTGGCTGATAATACAGTACATTTCTTCATTACTTGAGATATCATCAGAAATGAAAAGCAGGGAAGTTATGGTAAACTGCTATAGAACCTTGGTTAGACCACACTTAGAATACTGTGTGCAGTTCTGGTCCCTACATTATAGACGGTTGTAGAGAGTTTGCAAAGGAGATTCACAAGGATGATCCCAGAACTGAGAGGTTATACCTATCAGGAAAGGCTGAACATACTCGGACTTTTGTCTCTTGAAATGAGGAGGGCAAGAGGTGACCTGATAGAGGTCTTTAAAATGATGAAAGATTTTCCACTTGTGGGGGACACCGAAACCAGGGGCCATCAATATAAAATAATAATAATAATCCTTGTATTTGGTATAGCGCTTTTCATGTCTTCTAGGTGGCTCAACGCGCTTCACAGAATATACTGTAAAGTGAATTGACTGCATATTTGTGGGTAAAACGCAGCAGCCAATTGTGCACAGCAATATTACACAAAAACAGTTGTGGATTGAAGTGACCAATTTATTATTGTTTTTTTTTCTTGAGGAATTATTATCAGGGATGTGGAGTAAGGAAACTTACCCGAGGTTTCACCCTGCGGGAATCAAACCTAGGTCTCACTTGCAAGGCGAGCGCTCTAACCACTGAGCTACAGGAGCTCATGTGGAGCATAAACACCAGCATAGACCAGTTGGGCCGAATGGTCTGTTTCTGTGCTGTATATTCTAATGTACTCTAAATAATTGTTCAGTGAGGCTAACAATAGGCAGGGAGAGAAGCAATTGGGATAACATTTGAAAAGGTTACAGCCAACAAATACTATTAGTTATTTCCCATTTCCAGTTCCAAGAAAACAGGTCAAGTAGATAATTGTTTATGAGTATGAGGAGCCAAAAGAAATCCTAATATGTTCATCATGGGGGATTTCAGTTTTGAGTGGTGTATAAGGACATAATTAAAAGGTATATGATACCTCAGCAACTCACGAGTCACCATCGCGTGCATAACATTGCCACGTAGAAGGTTTTTTTTCGGATGCAGGAAGCCATTATTGGTGCGTTTTTGCCATAAAAGTGTTTTTCCAAACCCGAAGAATTTCTTTTAAGGGCAATTGTGCAAAAATACATTCATTTGAGGAAAACGAGAAATGTGGCAAAACCAAGGAAGTCAAAAGTAAGATAAAGTTACAAATATTTTAAGATGCAAGGAACCAAATGTATTGTAGAACTGAAAGTCTCATAAAAGGCAGTTGATGTTAATCAAAATTTCGAGAGGAAGGACAGGATAATAGAAAGCAGATCATTTCCTACCTGCTGTTGTCGGCAATGAGAGAGGTCCAGCTAGATTAGCAGTCGTCCTGTTAAAGATGAGAAAAATCCTTTTAAGGAATTAGTTAGAAACTTGGTGAAAGCAGGTGATAGCATTACACAACACTCTGTGCTATGTAGACTATTCTAGGGAAATTTTTATTTTGATCAGCCATGTGTCTTGACATGTCGAAACCCAACGCCGTGCTTCAGAGTATCCTAACCAAACAGAACTCCATGCATCAGTGAAACTGTACAGCAAATTTCGAGGGGTCCTGACTACAAAAGGCTTTACAGTACTTTTTAGAAGATAGGTTTAACCTAAAAACAATATTAATTGCAAATTGGAAAACCATAAGTGCCTGATTCCTATAGCTACTCATTTAGACACTTTATCTCAATGAAGTGACAAGGTGCAAGGATTATTTTATTATTCAGTCTGATTTTCTGGCTCCCAATCAATAACATGTTCTTCATTTCTTGCAGAAAATTTTTCCAGTCAGCCTGTGACGTACCTGAACCTGAAGAAAAGTTTAATATCGATGAATACTCTGACATGGTGACACTAAGTAAACCTGTTATTTACATCTCCATTGAGGAAATCATAAACACTCACTCGGTACGTGTGTAAGCACTTTGATTTGGGATAGCTTCCTTTCGGCAATTGGATATTGTTTCAGGAACAACAACAAGATTACATTTGTATAGTGCCTTTCACGTCGGGAGGACGTCCCAAGGCACTGGACAGAGTACAGAATTTCAGATTGCTGTGAATTAAGAAAGGTCCCACCATGTAACTCTGCTTTGAGTCCTCCTATTAGGAATTGGAAATGTATCTTTAAACTCATTTGGTTACATAATAATATTCCTTGATATACCACCTTAGCATGTCTTTGAGATGTCTCAATGCGCTTCACAGATTATACTGTAAAGTGAATTGACTATATTTTGTGGGCAAAAGGCAGCAGCCAATTGCGTACAGCGGTGTCCCACTAACAGTCGTGGATTGAGTGACCAAATTAAGTTTACATGACTAAATTACATGGCTACTTTTATGTGAATATTAGAAAATGTGCTTCAGACTTTACTGTGTTGCACAAGTATTGTATGTGCCATTACAGTAGCATAGTATGAAGTATGACATTAGGAAATGTGGCTGAACATGATCTTTTTGGGACAAATGCATGATTTCCAGCTGAACTTTGGTTGCACTCACATTTTTATTTTAAGGGAGTTTAAATTGTCAGATCCTTGGGAATGATGGTATAAAACAGGGTTGGGGATGTGCTGCATTGTTGGAAGTTTCTCCCAATGTTCTGTCCAACATCCCCCAAATAGAGTTGGTCATTCATTTCAAGGCTGTTGGTGGGACATTTATATGTGTAAATTGGTTGCTGTGTTCACCCACTAAAATACTCAGTTGGAAAGAAACGGAAAATATTGTTCGAATGAATCCTGTGCAGTGCTTTGAGACATGAAAGGCGCTGTGTCAAATTTAAGTATTATTACAAATCTACCACAATTCTACAGCTAACATACAGGAAATTATCTCTCCCACCATCAGGGAGGGTTTGCAGCACTGGCAGCTGCTGGATGCAGTTGCTCCCACCCACATTTTTTCATTTGAATATTGTGAGGTCATTCACTTTTGACTCATTGACGTGCTCGATCCTTTATCCAACTCTTCATGATCCTTCAGCAATAGCATTTGCTGTAATGAAGCATTTAATTATTTTGTAATTATTAAAAAGCCTGCAGTTTGGCAGTGAGTGGAGCAGAGTATCTCAGTTGCTTAGCTGTGAGGCAAAAGTTAACAACAATGAACTGGTCTCTATGTCAATCCCCTGGACTACCTGGAGGCTGGCTCAAGTAGTACTAGGGAGAAGGAAAAGCTTTTGCAACCTCACAAAAGTACAATGATCCTTGTAAAATTAATACAGTTACTCCCATTATATGAAGGAAAATGCCCCAGGGAGCAGATCCTGATGTAAATTGCCATCAGCTCAAGAGTTTGTTTCTCCCTTTTCCTGGAACAGCCTGCTTTCCTACTCTCAATACTTTGCAGATGGTGTGACAAAGCAATCTGATATGCAGGGTGACCACAAAGTTGTGATACCATTACAGTGTCTAATAAGTTTGAAATAAATGATGATGTTTTATGGTAATAGGATAGATTTCACGACTTTTTGGTCACTTTGTCCAAGAGGCACAAATTGTTCAGGACAGAGAAGTTAGTCCAGGGAAGAGGGGTGAGACTTTCATTCAAACTTATATTTAGTGTATTTTGAGCCCGCCATCAGGGATGTTTGATGTGGCCAATGCAGCACTCCTCTATCAGACCCTCGGGCACAGTGTAATCTGTCTTCATCAACCTCTCAAGGGACTGAGCCTTTATATAAGGGTGGCCTCTGAGTAAGGGTTTGTTGGTGTAAGAACTGGGGTTTTCCAGGATTTTTTGTTAATGAGGTGAATGGAAATGCTCGCTTAAACAGGTTTGACTGTTCCTTATGCGGGCGCAGGTCAGATTCAACTGGCCCAAATCATTACAAAGCAATGGTGATTGGCATGCCACATGAGAAGTTATGTAGGAATAAATACAGCACTGTTGTGTGCCTTTTTTCTGGCCCTAAAAAGTAGAAAACAAATCTCATCATCTGTACTTTTGTGTCTAAAACTATTTAATCAGTGTGATTTGTATAGGTTCTGATTAAGTTTTTACAAAAAAGGTTTATGATTAATGATAAAAATATAATTTGTCGAAGTTTCTCTTTTCAGTTAAACACTGTTGTATTTCAACATAAATCTGGTAAACTAATGCTAGTTTTAATGATCATTTTCCTGGTGCTTGTTGTTTTGGATGAACAACAACAACAACAAGATTGCATTTATAGAGCGCCTTTCACGTCGGGAGGATGTCCCAAGGCGCTGGACAGTTGGGTCGGGACCCGGGCAGGGGGGAAATGGTCAGGGTGAGGGGAGGGAAGGGAGGGAGCGAGGAGGGAGTAGAGAGTCGAGAGGGGAGCTGAAGGCACGGCTGAAGAGAAAGGTCTTGAAGGAGGAAAGGGAGGAAGCAAAGCGAAGGCACTGGGGGATGGAGTTCCAGAGCCTCGGGGCTGAGAGGCTGAAGGCCCGGCCACCGATGGTAGGGCGGTTGGGGCGGGGGATGTGGAGCAGACCGGAGCCAGAGGAACGGAGGGTACGGGCGGGTACGTGGGGGGATAGTAGGTCGGAGAGGTAGGAGGGAGCAAGGCCGTGAATGGCCTTGTAGGTGAGGATGAGGATCTTGAATTCGATCCTCTGGGGGATGGGGAGCCAGTGGAGGCGAGCGAGGGTGGGAGTGATGTGGTCCCGAAGCCTGGTGCGGGACAGTACACGAGCTGCAGAGTTCTGAATGACCTGCAGCTTGTGGAGGGAGGTGCCGGGAAGGCCGACGAGGAGAGAGTTCCCATAGTCCAGCCTTGAGGTGATAAAGGCGTGGACCAGTGTTTCAGCAGCGTGAGGGGTGAGGTAGTGCCGTAGTCTGGCGATGTTCCGGAGGTGGTGGAAGACGGTGCCAGTTATGGCGCGGATATGAGGATGAAAGGACAGCTCAGGGTCGAACAGAACCCCGAGGTTCCTGACTGGCTTTGAGAGGTGGAGAGTGCAGCCTTGGATGCTGATGCTGTCAGCCCCTGAGGTGCGGAGGCGCTGACGTGAGCCAATCAGGAGGGCCTCAGTTTTGCGCACATTGAGCTGAAGAAAGTTATCTCTCGTCCAGGACTCGATGTCGGACAGGCAGCTGTCAGGACATCGGTGGTCGTGGAGTTGAGGGTAGAGGAGGAAAGGTAGAGTTGGGTGTCATCCGCATACATGTGGAAGTTAACCCCATGTCTGCGGATGATGTCACCAACGGGGAGCATATCGAGGGTGAAGATGAGGGGACCGAGGACAGAGCCCTGAAGGACACCGCACGAGACAGTGCGGGGGCTGGAGGAAAAGCCGTTTGCAGAGACAAAATGAAGACAGTGAGAGAGGTAGGACCTGAACCACTCAAGGACAGGGTCTTGAAGGTTGAGGTGGGAGGACAAGCGGTGGAGGAGGATAAAGTATCGAATGCGGCCGATAGGTTGAAGAGGACGAGGAGGCAGAGGGAGCCCTGGTCGCAGATGGTCAAGATGTCATTGATGACCTTGACCAGGGCGGTTTCCATGCTATGGGAAGCACGGAAACCCGACTAGAGGGGTTCGAAAAGTGAGTGGGTGGAGAGGAAAGAGCGCAGCTGGGAGGCGACGACTCTTTCAAGAACCTTGGACAGGAAGGGGAGGTTGGAGATGGGCCGGTAGCTTGATAGCTGCGACGCATCAAGTGAGGGTTTAGTTTTATCTTGCTTTTGTTTACTTGAAATATCATTTTAAGACTTCATCCTTCCATTTAGTTTCACTGAAAGTCAGAAGGTCAACACAGTGCTTAGTTTCCGAAGTGTATTCAATTAGAGCTCTGCACTTCATGGTACTGGATCTCAGGAGCCCTCTGCATGTCCCTGATGTACATGTAATACACAGAAACCACCATCAATCAAACCACATCATTTGGCGGATTGTTCTTTCTGCATCCTCTGCATACAAATTAATCTTCATTTGCCTGCTCAGGTGGTTGTTAAAAGATCCTATTTGAAAAGAGAAGGGAGTTTCTCCCAGTATCCTGGCCAACAATCCTCCAAATAAAAAATTGGTCACTCAACTTTGACTGTTTGTGGGACACTGCTGTGTGCAATTGGCTGCCGCGTTTCGCCCACAAAATATACAGTCAATTCACTTTACAGTATTTTCTGTGAAGCGCTTTGAGATGAAACAGCTGCAGCATTTCACTTGGCTATCACTGAATATGAGAGGGCAAGGAAGAGAGACAGCTTATCGAATATATGATAAGGCGCTATATATCAAATGCAAGGATTATTATCATTATTAGTTCATAAAGAGGAAGTCTGGCTTCCAGATTAAAGCTGGATTTTCTACAGTTCTGCAAGATTTTAAACTTAAAGATGAAATAATTTTATATGCCAAAACTTGGGTAGAATTTTGGTTCACTGAATATCACATGAATTATATTTTTTAAACCTGAAGCCCAGATAAATTTGTTATTCACTTTAGAGCTGTTTATTGGTCATTGCTCTGCTCGCATTGACTGTTGTGTGCACTTGGACTATTTTTAGAATGTATTTGCATATTTGTTTAGGTAAAATGTTCCTGTTTACTTTGTTTGAGCTCCTCTCTCAGCAATTTGCTCTGGGCTGTACAAAGACATGTACAGCCTGGGTTACCAGTGTTTGTCCAGTGAATGTGGTGACGCACGAGGCTCCTATGGGGACGGAGTCTGTGCTCAGCTGTGTACTGCCAATATTTCTATTTTTAGACTCAGCCTGAAAAGCCGTTTGAATAACAATTTTTAAAAAAAGGATCATTGTGACCTCATTCTATTGTTAATTTGTGGATGATTTCCACTCTGCAAGTTCTATATTTGCTTAATTTGCAAGACTTGTTGAATGTGGACTCTGTTTTCATTCCTCACTCCAGTCGGTCCTCATTTTCCTTCATTGAAAAGGGTGACTCATACTGTAAGGGTACGGGTTCACAACTACTGGCACTTCTCTTGATACCTTGCCCAGTGTTTAGGTGTGCACCCAGGAAATGAGTTTTAAATGATTTAATCTTTGCAGTGGAGCTCACTTTGTGTTCACCTGGCCAGTTTTCAGCAGGGCCAGTGAATAGTGATCAGGAACAGTCTATTTTCCTATTCCCCGTTCTGTTTCCTGCCTCCCCTCTTAATCGCCAGAAAGGTCTGACCACATCTCTATGAGATTGACCAACAGGAGGAATGTGTCCACTACTTATAAGAGAAAACATACACAAGAGAGAAGAGAATGGTTATGTACTGTATCTGAAGTTTTGTGTTAAGGCCAGCAATAATTCATATGTTTGGAGGGAGGGATTCTACGTAAGACATGTTGTTCTGTGCACGAAATTAAACTTGTGTTGCACATGGATTTGTTTTCCTCTTGGGAGGGAGGATAATCTGAACTGCATATATCTATCAAATGTTTTGCAAAAACCTTTACAGTTTTTGCCACTTGCGTAATTCCACATATGTATACATTTAATGGTGCCTTGAGTTTTTCTTGAAATTAAAGATTGTAGCAATACTTCAGTTCATGCACTCCGAGAAGATATCCTGCATGAAGGACACTGGGTAAATTGGGTAAAAGTACGAGTTGTAGTCGTTGTTGTTTTCTGTGTGGAGCTTCTTCGACTGTACATTCGGTGAATCTCCTTCCCCCACCCTCCCTGCTCTCCACCCCTCCTGATCCTAACCCCCAGCTCGGGTGCAAATCCTTGACAGTCCAGTGCCTTAGGACATCTTCCTGACGTGGAAGACGCTATACAAATGTCATTTGTTGTTGTGTGTTGTACAGCAGTGCAAATAGAAATCCCATCAGTAACTGTATGAACAGAATATAATGTAGAAAGGACACGTACCATATTCATGTCAGCTTTGACTGCAATCTGCACAGTAGGAGAATCTTAAGAATGTTTAGATTCTGCCTTCAGATGAATAAATCAGTGTCACAAAACATTAACAGTTTTAGTTCACTTTGGGATTACTTGGTAAACCATCTCCAAATATTTGTAAATGGAGATTTTTGTGGTAAACTGTTTGCACAATATTTCTCAAGCACAATTTTACTTTAACCACAAAAATACTTTGCTATAATCCATTGGCTACCAATGCAAAAATATTTGTGCAAAAATATTGAGTTGGAACACTAATGTGAAAGTGTTGTATTATTTGAATTCCTAATTGATCAGTAATTACAAAGAATGTTGGAAATAATTACCAAGGTTTTGTACAAACTATAATTTTTATATCTGGGTGCAGACAGCAGAACAAGAGGACACACATGTAGACTTGCAAAGGACAGATGCCAGGAAGCATTTCTTTATCCAGAGGGTAATTAATGACTGGAACAGATTGTCGAGAGAGTGGTTGCGGTTAGGATGGTGGACACGTTTTTTTAAAAAAAAGCTTGATGCTTCAATGGGTGGATTGTAGGGTGGGTATTCTGGAAGAACAAGATCAAATGGGCTGAAGGGCTTTTTTCATCTGAACCTCTTTTGTGACCTTGAACACTGTGCAACTGATTGTGAAGTACTATAATTACATTAAAAAATTGAAGCTTACAGATTTTGCACATTTGATCACTACTTGGGAAAAAATATTGGAAGATACAAAATTTACTTTTGAAAAGATTAAGACTGAAGGAGAGGGAATGATTTAAATCTGTGAGGTTCTGTGAGGATAACATTGGGTGTTCAACAATTCCCAGTAATCTTTGTCAATGTGATGCTGTAGATTTTCCTCAGCTCTGACAGGCTTCTACTCCTAGTGTAAATTACTTTGTTTCGCCCACAAAATACACAGCCAATTTAAAATATCACTTTACAGTATATTTTGTGAGGCGCTTTGAGATGTCTCAACGAACGTGATAAGGGGCTATGTGAAATGCAAGGATTATTATTATTTAAGATAATTCTTGCTAACGATTTAATCTTCTCTTTATTAGACTACTAATACACAAGTTGCTCATTTATGAAATAAAACTGAAATGACTCATGAACTGGACATTGGATGTGCGTTGCTTTCAGTTCAGTGTTTTCTTCAGATTCAAGTGAACCAGTTTAGCAGCTCTTAACACTTAACACCAGCAACCTGTTTGTGATGCAATTTACTTTCTTTCTGTGGCAGTTGCTATTGGAGCATCAGCAAGCTATTTCTCCAGATCAGAAAGACCCACTCCATGAACTGCTAAAAGACCTTGGAGATGTACCTGATGTTGAAACTTTGATTGGTGAGTACAATACAATACAAACTTACATTTGTATATCACCTTTCACGTTGGGAGGACCTCCCAAGGCACTGGACAGTCAAGCATTTGGACTTTTTGGACCCGAGCTGGGGGTCAGGATCGGAGAGAGTGCAGGGTAGGAGGGTGGCCAAAGGCTTGGTCGAAGAGTAAGGTTTTGAGACGCATCTTGAAGGAGGCAAGGGAGGGAGCAAGGCAACAGGAATGTGGGATGGAGTTCCATAGGGTAGGGGTAGAAAGGTTGAAGGCCTGACAGCCGATGGGGAACGTGGAGCAGGCCAGAGCCTGCTGAGTGGAGGGATCAGACAGCTTGATTTGGGATCAGCAGGACGCAGGGGTAGGGAGCAGCAAGGGGTGGAGGGTCTTGAAGGCGAGGATGAGGATTTTGAACTCTATCCTCTGAGGGATGAGGAGCCTGATGGGGGTCATGGAGCCTTGTGCGGGAGAGGACATGAGCTGCAGTTTTGGATGATCTGCAGCTTGTGGAGGGAAGAGTTGACAAGCAGGGAGTTGGGGAAGTCGAGCCTAGATGTGATGAATGGGTGGATGAGGGTTTCGGCAGCATGAGGGATAAGGCAGTGGAGGAGTCGGGTGATGTTGAGAACGTGGGGTAAGGCAGAGCGGGTCATGGTACAGATGTGGGGTAGAAACGACAGTTGAGGGTCAAATAAGATCCCAAGGCTCCATACTGACTCAGTGAGGTTGAGTGTGCGTCCTTGGATGGTGATGCTGTCAGTGAGGCATGGAGGCACTGACAGGAGCCAATCAGGAGAGCCTCGGTCTGGTTGACGTTCATCGGTAGAAAGTTAGCTCTCATCCAGGACTTGATGTTTGACAGACATTCTATCAGGACAGCATTGGTCCTGGAGTCAAGGGTGGAAGCAGAGAGGTACAGTTGGGACTTGAGGAACGCTGCACAAGATGGTGCGGGAGCTAGAGGAGAAACCTCTTGTGGAGATGAAGTGGAGGAGGTGTGAACCATTCAAGAACAGAACCATGAAGGTTGAGGTGAGAGGAAAGGTGGTGTTGGAGGATAGAGAGGTCAACGGTATTGAAGGCAGCAGAGAGGTCAAGGAGGATGAGGAGTAAATTGGAAATGCAGGTTTTAGGTTGATCTACTTGATGCCATAAGGGGAAGCCTGTAAAGTTGTAATTCTGGAAGGGTGAGTTCAAATGAGCCTCTTTACCCAAAGCTCGCTTTCATTTGAGGCTCGTGAAATACTCAATTGAGATCTGTACATCTTTACAGCTTTCAAATCTGCCACATGAAGTATTTCAGCTGAACTGAAGTATTTTAAAACTTGATTTTTTTAACTTCAGTTTCATAATACAGTACAGCAATATAAGTGCACCAAGCCAGCTTTTAAGCCAGTATACTGGAGGCCATTAGGGCTTTGAATATTGAGCATCAAGTTATTTTGCATCTGGAGGAATGGTGACTTCAGAATGATTTCCAGACGAGAGGTCTAGAGGGTGGGGGCAAAGTGACCAAAAGCTGGCACTGATGTTGGGTCGAAGCAGGTCAGAGTTGGCGAAGCGGAGGGAGTGCAACTGAGGCGTCAGGTTCGATCCCCAACTTTCCTTTCTATCCCACATCCGTTCCCTGACCAGGGCCGCTTTTTTCCACCTCCACAAGATTGCTCGCCTCCATCCATATTTCACATCCGATGCAGCCGAAATCCTCCTCCACACCTTTGTCACTTCCCAGCTGGACTATTCCAATGCCGTCCTCACTGGTCTCCCCAGCCCCACCATACACAAAACTCAATTAATTTAGAACTCTGCTGCCTGGATACTCAAATCCACACAAAACTCTGTAACCCCATCACACCAGTCCTTCCCAGGCTCCACTGGCTCCCAATTACTGAATGGATTAACTTCAAGATCCTCTCACGTGTTTTCAAATTTCTTTATGCCCTCGCACCTCCGTCCCTATCTGATTTGCTTACCCCCACTCCACCCCCCACTACCATCGCTTGGCCAGCTCCGGCCTCCTGTTCGTCCACTCTACCATCTAACCCCCGAAACTCTGGAATTCTCTCTCCCTCAATCCTCCGCCTTGTCCCCTCCCTCCCCACTTTCAAATCACTGCCTAAAGACCATCCTTTTTGATCGTGCTTACGGTCACCTCCCCCCTCCCTCTTCCCCTGGCTCGGGGTCAGAGTCTGCCACTGTCATGTTCTCTGGGACGCTATATAAATGCAAGTTGTTCCTGTTGTTGAGTGACCTGTGGAATCAGGCATGGAGGCATTTCAAAGTAAAGACAGGAATCATGAAGTTCAACTGCTGAGGGATAGGGAGGCAGTGGATGTGGGGTTGGATGGGGTAGATGTGCATGCAGAGCTGAGTATGGAAAAGGATGGCGTAGCTCTGGATGGTCTTGAACTTGTGGAGGGTGGAGCTGAGGAAGCTGATAAGCAGGGCATTCAAGAGGTAAGTTGAGGGAGGACAACAAATGTGTGGATGAGGGTTTGAGCTGCATTAGAGGTGAGGTGGTGACAGAGATGGGCAATGTTGCGGAGATGGACGAAAGCAGACTTGGTCAGAGCTCAAATGAAAAGTTTAAAGGAGAGTTGAGGGACGAACAAATACCAGAGGTTTCACATGGGCTCCGTGAAACAACAATCTTGAACTTGAACCGTAAAGTGTGAAAGAGGACATTTGTACATCTTCTTCTAACAGAACACAATATAGTGTGTAAGCGAACCACAAAATTGGTCCTTGCCTTGAACAGGATCTGCTGTGTTCTCACTTGCAATCTTTTCATTGGGAGAAGAAAAAAGCTACGTGTGGGGCTCCCATCTATAATTAATCCTAAACAGCTCTGTGCATATTAAAATATTTATAACGTGTTTACAATTTACCACAACAGTAAACTGTTACCATGACACAATCGTGGAAGCAAGAGGATTAAGTGTGTAATGAATGATTATACCAGAATGTGAATTTTAGTACAAAGCATCTGCAGTCTACAGCCTGACGCCGAGCTGGGGGGCAGTGTTATAACAATGTTTCAGAACCAAATTAGACTTCAGGTTCTGATATAAATTGCAGATTCCGGATCAGTCGGTCTGACCATGCCAGAAGTGTACCAGACTCCAGTAAGACACTTAATGACAGCATCACCCTGTCTTCTGAAAGGGAGTTTGGTCCTCACATCATTTATCAACTAGCAAGTAGGTTATGTACGCGGGTTCAGTGGGAGTAGGGTGTGGGCAGCAAAGATAGGATCTCTCGGTACTTTCAGGACTGAACCATCCGGCTGATTCAAAGGGGATTAGTTTCATGGAAACATCCATAGCAAGTCACAGAAACAATATTAAAATATTGTAGTTGATCAATTCAGATGAGTAGTGTGCATCCTCGCTTGTAACGGTACAACAGTTATATCATCTGATCTTGTCATAGTAACGGATTACTCTTGTGGTAAATTGTAAACACATCATAATTTTATAGGGCAATTATATTGGGAAGGGAAATTTAACGATGTTGATGGAAAGAGATGCATCAAAGAGATACATCAATGATTTCGCCCACAAAATGTACAGTCATTCACTTTACAGTATATTCTGTGAAGCGCTTTGAGACGTCTTCAAGACGTGATAAGGTGTTATATCAAATGCAAGGATTATTATTAATGGCAAATGAAAGGCGAACAAAATGCCAAGGTGCGGATCTGTCCGAAATTATGCCACATGCCCTCTGACATACTTTCAGATGCTGATTTTTGTTTTACCCATGCCAAGATGGAGGGATGTGTCTCCTCCCAGGCTGCTTTAAATAGGGGCTTTCACCCCGTCCTTGTAAAGTAAGACTTGCTTTCTAAACTGAATTGGTGAAAAAGGATTCCAAAGCCCCACCACACAATCCAAAACATCAACTCGAATCATATACGTGAATTTGACACAGAAATGGGCACTGGGCCAATAAATGGTGAGAAGATCAAATCAGTTACTCTGGTCAAGAAAGCTGGGGTGAGATACTTGGAGGCAGCTGGTGTCTGAGAAACTGTTAGTCTTTGACATGAGTCAGCATCTTCAGGGATATGGAGAAAACTGGAGGAATATTGAATGTCTTTTAAAATTGTTCTCATGACAATTTGAGAATTTGACATTAACCACTAAAATGAATGACAAATAATGTTCCATCCTTAAATAAACTGCCTTTGTGCCCACTTTAGAAATGGGGGAAAAAGTTATACAGCAGATGTTATAATTTAAATGTAGTCAAGATGTTGAGACTAGACAACAGAGATTGTTGGTGCGTCTATATATTACAAATCTTTTTTAAGTGTCTTGAATGTCTGAACTTGGGGGTGTAGACAACTTCTACTGTCAGTAATAATGTTCATCTTCTTTCTCTTCAGGAGAGGGAGCAGTTGTCTCGAATGATCCCAACAAGGAAAATGTACTCTCTCAGCTTGCCAAGACGGAGGTCTCACTTACACTTATGAGCAAGTTTGAATTGCGGGAAGGAGATGACCGAAATATGAAAAGTTTGATGATAAAGTAAGTTTTATCCAAGATTTGTTTTGGGGTCAATTAAGTATTCAAAACAGTGGAAACCCATCACCACGCTTAAGAGTCTCCAAAATACTGATCGTTCCAAATGTGTAGGGCTTCCAAAGCTTTGGAACTCTCTCCAAACCCTCCTGCTTGCCTCCTCCTTCCCCTCTTTTAGATCACGACTAAAGTCCTTTCTCTTTGACCGTGTTTAGAGTCACCTCCTCTCTCACCACAGTTCGCCGTCAGTCTCTGCCACTGTTAAGGGCTCAGAGACGCTGCCCTGCGTGAAGGGCACTATATAAAGGCAAGTTGTTGTTCTGTTTGTCTGGTCTAGTCTCTCCCAGAAGGGTGCAGCCTGCTCACCTAATCCCAGAGATGTTAGGTCCAGGTTGATGAAAGCAACACTTTCTGACTGGGTGAGCTGCATTGTTATATCACCTTAACATATCAAAGAGTCTCTGAGCCCTTCACAGAAATGACTGCCTAGTGTAGTGATTGCTTTTTGTAGGCTAAAGGAACAGCTATTAACCAGGCAACAAAGACCCACAAACAACCATAAAATGAATGAGCAATTGTACTCAGCAGGAGAACTCTTATTTAACATGCTGTGTCATTGATTGGATAGAACTTACTTTCTTACTCTCCAGTATATTGCAGAGGTACATCAACACATTAAGAATGGTTAATATTTTTCCATGAGCTCTGTAATATCTGTGTAAATAAAACTAAGTTACTGAAGGCTAAATGTTGGCCCATGTCACCATATCCATCTGTTTGGAGGGCAGTGAATGTGATATGTAGATCCAGAAGCAAATTACTGCAAGCAACAACAACAAATTACATTAGTATAGTGCCTTTCACGTCGTCCCAAGGCGTCGGACAGTCAGGGATCTGCACCTGAGCTGGTGGAGGGCAGGGAGGGTAGGGGAAGAAGGGTGACCAAAGGCCCAGTCGAAGCAGAAGAATTGCTAGCCCTCAGATCACAGAGTTGAACCAGAGCAATTCATCTGGAGAATCGTTGGCCAGGACACTGGAAGAAACTCCTTCTTTTGAATAGCGAGACAGGATCTTTAATATTTACTGAAGAACAAGCTGTTTACGTCTTAGTTATAATTAATGCATAACATACAAAACGAGTTAAAAGTTACACAAACTGTAGTACAATAGAGGCATCAATATGCACATAAATTGAAACCAGCCCCATTCCGGGTATGAAACCAATATGAAAAATGGACCCCTCTGTTTGTGCGCCCTTAGTCGTGTCTCTCTAGCCCTCTCAATGTTTCTTTGTGTTTGTGCATCTATCAGTCTCTAATTAATTGTGCGTGTGTGTGTGTGCATGTGCTCTCTCTCTCTCTCTCTCTCTCTCCCTCTCTCTCCCTAATCTGTATTTACGCAGATACTGCACCAACCTCGTGCTATACAATTAAAATTGTGATTCTGGACATCTCGTGCACGTGGTTTCAACTTAAATTCTCCACAACGCAGTCCAACTCAACTTCAAAATCAAATGTAAATAGTCTGTGTTCGGACATGCAGCATTCTGCTGTATTTGCTCTATGCAGCATCGTCAAATTAGAACAGGTATTACCAATGTTTTGACATTGCTGTACACATTTTGCAGATTTCAGAATAAATATCCCTTCAGTTTCCACTTTTTCCACCGAGACTACAAAAGAACATTTTTTTTTCACAAACACAAGTTCAGCTTCCGCATTAAATCCAATCCACACCTTACTAAAGTTTTAATATATGACACTTTTTAATATAATAAAACCACAAGGTGCATACAGTGTGTCCTAGGACAGGGGATGTGTGGATTTGCTGATGGTAACAATGTCATGTTTTTGTCCAGTCCTTGACCAGCACTGCTTTCTTCCACATTGCCTGTCCCCGACAATACCTCACTCCAAAAGCTGCCGAACGCTGATTGGCTCGTGCCAGCACCTCCGCACCTCAGGCACTGGCAGCATCAGCATTCACGGTTGCACACTCCACCTTCCCAGGCCAGTTAGGAACCTGGGCGTCTTGATCGACCCTCAACTGTCCTTTCTCCCCATATCTGTGCCATGACCCGCTCTGCCTTCCTCCCACCTCCACAACATTGCCCGACTCCACCACTGCCTCACCCCTCAGACCGCCAAAACCCTCATACACGCATTTATATTTACAACCCTCTCTTGTCTCCTTCAAGGCACGACTCAAAACCATTCTTTTTGACCATGCCTTCAGTCACCCTCCTACCCCCTCTGCCCACCCTCACCCCAACCCTGCCCCCCCACCTCAGGTCCTGATCCCTGACTGCTCAGCGCCTTGGGACGTGAAAGGCACTTTACAAAGATAATTTTGTTGTAAAAGAAACTCTGAGTATCCAGATGTCAGATAAGGGCAAGGTCTAGCCAGCTGTGATTTCCTTTGTGGTCCAAACAGGCTGCCAGCGCTCATTGTGCAGACTCATACATAGAACAACAACCAGATGCTAATCCAGAACTCTGCAGCCTGTGTCCTCTCCCGCACCAAACTCATGACCCTATCTCCCCCGCTCTCGTCCAACTCCACTGGCTCCACGTCCCCCCACCCACCCGCCCCACCATTGGCGGGAGAGCTTTCACTTTTCTATTGGTCCAGATATAGGGACTGATAAACACTTGATATAGAGATTAGTTTTTGAACCAGTTTTACAACCGCAGAAATTGTTTATGGAATCTTTTCAGACTTTATTTGTCCTCTAATGGAGAAATATTTTCGTCAGTCTCAAAACATGTTTTTCCTAAGAGAGTTTTTAAAGAATGCATTCATCAACAATTTCTCACACTGTAAATGTGCCCTTTTATGTCTTTTCGTGGACTTTGTGAGTCCCAACCATATTAGTGAGAAAGTTAAAGTAAAAAAAAACTTACATTTGGTATAGTGCCTTTCAACAACAACAAGCATTGGTGTATATATGACTGTTTGTGGGACTCTGCTGTGAGCAATTAGCTGCCACGTTCTGCCCACAAAATGCAGTCAATTCAAGTTACAGTAACAACAAAAACTTACATTTACATAGCACCCCTCACGCAGGTTAGCATCCCAAATATAGACTACAGTATATTCTGTGAAGCGCTGTGAGACATCTTAACAACGTGATGAGGCGCTATATATATCAAATGCATATATTATTAGGCAGTGCCTTTCAATGTATGGTAATGTCTCAAGGCACTTCACAGGGATAGGATTAGACACCAAGCAAGGGGGAGAGGGAGATGGCTATAGGTGAGTTCAAAGAGGTAGGATTCGAGACGGGTCTTAAAGACAGGAAGAGAGGGTAGGAAGAGAGGTGGAGTGGTAGAAGTGAGTTTCCAGATGTTATGAGCATAGGAACTGAAGGCTTGCTGGCCGAAGGTGGTGTGGAGACAACAGAAGTCAACTGCAAGATCGAGTTAGCTGAGTGAGGTGGGCGGAGGACTAGCATAGGAGATTGGAGAAATAAAGAGGATTAACGTCAGGAGGATGTCTCAAAGCGCTTCATGGGATACACTATAAAGTGTAGCGACTGTACTTGTAGGCAACGCACAGCCAATTTGCACACAGTTACATTAATGCATGATGTTCTTAACAACAAGATGCATTTGTGTAGTATTATTGTTGAAAGGCGCTATACCCAATGCAAGGATTTTTTAAATTTTAACTTTCTACCTCTCACAGCAGTGCCCTACAAATAGCCATTTAGTAAGTTACCAATATGATTTGGGGGGATTGTTGCTCAGGACACTGGGAGGAATGCTCTTCCCTTTTCAAGTAGTACTATGGTATCTTTAACATCCACTTAAGTAGGTGGACGGGACCTCAATTTAACGTTCTGAATCTGGAAGACGCCACCACCTAACAAAGCAGCACAGCCCAGCACTGCACTGGAGTGTCAGCCTACACTGTGAGTTCAAAGTCCTGATGTGGGATTTGACCCCACAGACTTTAGACTCTGAGGTTCCCAAGCGAGCCAGGCTGATAAGCATTCTGTGAAGTGGGTTAGTTGCAAAGTATATTTGGGTTTCCAGTTCACTCAGCCTTTGAGATAAAGAGGAAGTACAAATTGTTCTTTGAGTGGAAGTGTTGATCAGATAGATTCTCTTCTTGGTGAAATTTACTGGGAAATGGAAGCAGCTCTGATGTTACCAGTCTTCAAAAGATACGATAAATTGAGAACAATATGTACTTCTTCTAAACACAGTATGCTCCCTAACTATTAATGTTGCCTCTTAGAAAGTAACAAATATAATTTCTAATTTAACCATTTCCAGTCACCCAACATCCTCTTTAATCTCAGAAAGATATGGGAACTCATTTATTTGTCAGTGAAGGTTATCCTTAAAATGACATTGTAAACTGTCCACAATTTAATTATGCTAAGTGAAAATACATCCTGTTTAATAATATTTTTGTGTAAATGTAAGAACTAATGTACTTTGAATAGTAGTACTTCCAGAGAAACTCCTATGTCCCTGGTCTAACCAGTTTCCAGATTTCAGATCATACCAAGACAAACATACTATAATTCTGTTCATAGGTCAGGAATACTATTCTTGATCATGAATCCTAAAAATGCCACAAACACAATTTTATATTACATTGTTAAAATAACTATATGTGCCCTGTTTATTTTTCTATCTATTCTCCCTTCTCTGTTCTATCTGATACCATTTTTCATTTTGTAATGTCAGTTTCCCTTATTTCAATTATTGCCTTTCCTTTTTATTTCTTTAAAATGTTTAAACCTTTCCTCACCTTGTTTCTCTGTTTCAGCTGCCACCATCCATTTCTGGAGGTGGGAGTAAGTTTCATCGTCCAGTAAAGGGTTAAACGTATTTTCCAGCCATTTGGAAGAAGACTGTGTTTTGACCTGAGTTTCACATCTGTGATGTGATTGATGGGATCACGACACAGATGTGAAACTCAGGTCAAAATTCAGAATAGTTTTCTTAACAAGTAGGAGGCTAATCCCCCACACCCCGAGAGTGACCAGGCAAATAAACTGATCTGTGGCACTCTGTATGGTGAATGAATAAACACTTTGATTTCAAAGTCATTTGGCTGTGCAGTTCAGTTTAAGCTGTATATGTGCGATTGAGACGTGAGATAGAGTGGGAGAGAGAGGAGAGGGAGCTACTGGAGAGAGAGCGCGACGGGGAGAGAGACAGACAGAGGAGGGAAGAGAAACAGACTAAGGAGAGGAGAGAGACAAAGAGAGAGAGATGTGGGGGGATGGGGAGGGGGGAGCGAGAAAGAGAGAGAAACTGAGGGGCCCCAAGAGAGGGAGGGATGGAGGGGGGAGAGAGACACAGAGGAGGAAGAGAGACAGACATACAGAGGGGAAGGAGAGAGGTCACTGCCATGGAAACACAGCAGACAGACCGCTATGGCAGCAGACCGCACTGTAATTGTTTCAGTGACTGTCCAAAAAGGTTAATTGTTTCCAGAAACTACATATCTTTGATTTCAGCCCCAGAATAATTATCGCCATAATCATCTAGTTTTAACTTCAGATCCTTATCTGCGGAAAAAAACTTGATGAATAGATAGAGCCAAGATTGAAAACAAACATTAACTTTATTCTGAGGGAATTGTGCATCTTTAGTATATAGTTAAACTACTTCATTTACTAATATCACTGCTCAAAATCCTGATGTTAAATACCAGACATATAAGAAGCTGAACCCTAGTAATGAAGTCATGGCTTTTTGTTCTTCATTTTTCATTTTCTTCTTTATTTTCTTCAGTGACATTTCTGTTCCTAAATCTTATGTGGTCAGAGAACTTAGTCACTTTATTACATTTCCATGCTTGCTAACAATCTATTTTTGAATGATGAATGATGTAATGAAAAACTCCTGGTCCTGCTAACCTGGCAGACCAAAATCCAGATGTTAAATACCAGACATATAAGAAGCTGAACCCCAGTTAGTGACTTTGATTTTATTATTCTGAGAATGGTGCTCCTCTGTTGCGAAATAATTATTCTGGATGAAATAAGGAGTTGAGTTCAGAGGGGGACGGAATTGTCTGAGAGGGCGAAGGAAATAGTAACAAACAATTTAGACTTTTACTCATAACTTATTCAGTTGGACGTGCCGTCGTCTCTAAATAGGACATCGTGGGGTTCAAGACCCGTGTTGGGACTTGAGCTCAAAATCTAAGATGACAACCCAGTGCACTGATGGGGAGTGTTTCATATGGGATGTTAAACCAAGATCCTTTGCTGTCTGCATGTTCAGGTGGACATTAGAGAGCCCAGGACAGAATTCGAAAAGAGAAGGGAGATTCTTCAAGTGACCTGGCCAACAAATCTCTAGATTAATTGATCATTTGTGGCTACCTTACTGGCACAAATGGCTGCCACATTTACCTCCCAACAAAATCACAGTGCTTTGCAATCATTTCTTTCTAAAACCTTTTGATACGTTTTGATGTGAAAAGATGCTATAAAATGCCAATTTTTCTTTCTAGTTATTTGTAGAGTATTGTATGTTTACAATATTCTGACACCTTTTAAAATGTTTTTTTTACAGTCTCCTCAAGTGTTTTATATGTATTAGAGAACAGGCACTGCTCGTGCCTTCTAGTTTTAACTAAGTTGGATTAATTGCAGTTCAAATCTTTTTCTTTCTTGCATTGTAATTTATAGCAGTCTTTGAAGTGGTGAGAGTATTGAAGGGTAAAAGCTACCCAAGGCAGATGTGAATACCAGAGGCATGAATGTGGATTTATTACTGAATGAGTAATCCTGCAGCATGCTCCCAGTGAGACTTAAGAGCCTATTCAGGGGTTTGAGAAGTTAAGTTGATCACAAGGCTGGTGGTACATATAAAGCCACTCACACCTGATATTTTCAGGGCAATGGAATGTTACAGAATTGCTTGTGTATTTGTTTAACTGCACCGTACTTGTAGTCTGCATTGGTGTTTTATAAAACATCAACTCAATAAAAGATCTTAGGCATTCCAGTATAATGGGGGTAACCTCTCTTTGAGTCTGCTTGAGAGATGCAAATCTCCACACAGAAGGCTGAGTAAACATGGAACTGTATCCGGCACAGCATAGCTATACATTGTGTTCTCTCTTACTATCTGTTCCTTAAACTACTGTTCTGTGTCACTCTTTTTCAACTGGTAACACTCTTACCTCTGGAACACAAGATTGTGAATTCAAGCCCGACATCGAGACTCAGGCTCAGTGTCTTAGCTGACACTCCAGTGCAAAACTTGGTGGATGTTAAAGATCTCATCGTGCTACTTGTAAAGAGAAAGGGATGCTGTGTTTCACCAGTGACAGTTTTACATCTACTGAAATGTTAATTTCAAATAAACTACAGAGATATTGTTACGTCACAAAATTGTTGCAGTCATGAAAAATAGATTTTTTTAGCCCCAAATGTTAAAATATTTTCTGGGCTTACTTTCTCATTTAACATTTTGTCCATCGTTCTCACAAAGAGGAATGGCAAATCAGTGGGCAAGTCTTCAGCGGCAATATCTCACCACTCCCAGCAGGTTTGGGAGCAGGGTGACTGCTTGCCTCTTTCGTAGTGAACTGTTGTGTGGTGGAAAAAAATTAACACTTGAACAATTGTAATCTGAATATTACTAGAGGCCCAGTTTGGTTCAAAGTGTGTGATGTTGAAAGCGCCATAGTTACTATTAAAAACCTATATTTTGTTCGAAACTCAAAATTTCTATTCTTCAACATAAGTCACATTGTGTTAACTGTAAGAGAGATGCCATTCAGCTTGATAAAGAGTCAAGTGTGTTAACAGATGTGCGAAAAATATTTTTGAGCAACTTCAGTGCGAATTGCCGATTAAGAGTTTAGGGGCTCCAAATGTTTTAAATGATCAAATGCTTTGTTCAAGTCTTTCCAAATGACAGTAATAAATCTCTCCTTTCTTTGTCCCACTTGTAGAGCAATCCTTGAAATTACTTTCTTCTCTCCCCTTTTCCTAAAGGACCAAAAGGTTGATTGAAGATGTGATCCGAACGCAGTCTGGAGAAACGCTGTCTGAAATCCTGGAGACTCCAGCATCCTCACAGCAGGTAATTCAGCACAACTGAACTCTTCACTCCTGCTCCTAGAACATTTCTGGTTGGAGCTTGAACAGTAAAAGAAGTGATGAAACAAAACCGGTCACTATTTTCGGTCCTTCACTGTGCCAATGGCAACCAGGCCAGATATGTCATTGTAATACTGCTTGGCAACGAGTATTGACACTTCTTTGATGTACACAGTTACTGGTTTGTAGATGTTGTTACAGGAATGAGAACAATAACAAAACACAGCTTAAGGAATTGACGGACACTCTCATGCTCTGATGCATTCTCCACATACGTGGAGTCCTGTATCTCAGTGTTTAGAGCACTTGCCTTGCAAGCGAGACATCTGGGTTCAATTCCCGGCAGGGTGAAACCTTGGGCAAGGTTCCTTATTCCACACACCTGTTAATAATCCCTCCAAAACAAAGCAATAATAAATTGGTCATTTTCAATCCATGACTGTTTGTGGAACACTGCTGTGCGCAATTGGCTGCCGCGTTCGCCCACAAATATACAGTCAATTCACTTTACAGTGTGTTCTGTGAAACGCTTTGGGACGTCCTCCCGACGTGAAAAGCGCTATATCAAATGCAAGGATTATTATTATTTATTATTATTATCTGCATTGGTCTGTTTGCCTTTTTCAGTTTATTTGCTCCTCTGCAGTGCCTTCAAACTGGCCAAGTCAGACCTTATTGGCAGAGCGCCTGCTGTTTGAACAAGAAAATAACCTTGCAGCCTTCAGCCACATTTCTGGTTTGCTTATATTTACTGGAAATACTAATCTTTGCATTTGATATAGCATCTTTCACATCAGGAGATGTCTCAAACGCTTCATAAGATGTGCAACAAATATAGTGACTGTTTATTATGTAAGTTGAATGTGGCAGAACTGATAGGCATTCAGCTCTTTATATGTTAGAAACAGCAACCAAATTGAAGCTCTCTCAACAACACTGTGTGGCAGTGAGTAAAGCAAACCAGATGTTGGGATGTATCAAAAGATCAATAGCAAGCCAAAATAGTGCAGTAATCTTGCCACTGCATAAATCATTGGTTAGATCATACTTGTACTGGATACAGTTCTGGTCGCTGCAATACAAAAAGGATATTGGAGAAATCAAGAAGATACAGAGGAGGGCAACCAAAATGATTGAGGGAATAGAAGGACTGGACTATGAGGAGCGACTAAGTAAATTGGACATGTTCGCATTGGAAAAGAGAAGATTGAGAGGCGACATGATTGCTGTCTTTAAGATTCTAAATGGGTTAGACAATATAGATCATGACAGGCTGTTTCAACTTGTCCAGAATAGTAAAGCCAGAGGACATGGCCTGTGATTGAAGGGGGTAAATTCAGAACGAATCTACGCAAACACTATTTCAGTGAGCAAATAGTGAACCTGTGGAACAGGCGCCCTAGGGAGTCGGTTGAAGCAGGAAGTGTTGATTCCTTCAAATAGAGGTTACATAATTTTCTTCTAGAAAATAACATTATGGGATATGGTACATAGGTAGCTTGGGAAATATGTGCATGCGACCACCAGGAAGGTGGAAGGCAAACTAGATGGACCTTGGTCTTTTTTTGCCGAGCATTTCTTGTTTTCTTATGTAACCAGGACCCTGCAGCTCCAGCCCATTTTTGCTCTTTAACCGCCATCTCTCCTGAAGATGGTGACTCATGCTGGATGTTAATGGATGGCACAGGCTGCCTGCCAATACTATTTTTCAAGTGTGAATAAGCACAGTGAGTGCTGACTGGCTATTAAGCTATGGGGGCACCACAGCAAGCTATTCTCAACATCGACACATGGACTTTGCAGTAGGGGAGCGGATTGATCAGTAGTGATCAAAAAGAATCAATGGGGAGATGAGGAATATTTTTTTACAAGCCCCAGCGATGTGATTATAATATCACCTCAAATTGTTTCATTCCAATTTGGTTCAGAATTACTTGAGCTTGGGGTAGGGTTTAAACAGGAAAAAGTGAGGGTGCCGAGCAAAGAGCTATTAGATCTGTGTTTTGTGAGGGTGACTTCAGAGAGAAACATCACTCCATTTCACAATAAATCCTGTGAAGCACCTTGAGATGTCCTTCTGACATGATAAGGCATTACACCAAATGCAAGGATTATTATTATTATTACCATTATCCCTTATGCTTCTTTTTCTATGACTTTTTCATTCCAATTCATGGAAGAAACTGTGAATTGTGTTCGCAGCTGAGTCACGCAAACTCTTCTGGTGTGTTTTTTTGTGAACAAAGGCTTCAGTTTGAAAGCATCAAATCAGTTTCAGGCTTGGTGCATTTCTGTGGGGATGCCAGGATATAAAGATATAATTGGGATCTATGGTAACAGCCAAAATCTAGAATCAATGAATCATTTAACACAAGTCTTTTACTTCCATGTGAAGTGGATTGAATCAGGTCCAAAACAGAACTTTAAGGAGTGTTTCTGGCTGCACAGAATACAAACCCTAGACACATTGCTCATCGCTCACTTTGTTTTCATACAGTTGAATAGAAACAGTGGGTAGATCAGAACATGCTGGTACTTCCACTGCCTCACCCCTCAGGCTGCCGAAACACTCACGCATTCGTCACATCAAGGCTTGATTATGGAAACTCCCTCCTCATCGGCCTTCCCAACTCTTCCCTCCACAAACGGCAGATCATCACTCTGCAGCTTGTGTACTCTCACGCACCAGGCTCCATGACTATCACTCCCACCCTCACCCGACTCCACTGACTCCCCATCCCCCAGAGGGTCGAGTTCAAGATCCTCGTCCTCACTTTCAAGACCATCCATGGCTTTGTCCCCTCCTACCTCTCTGATCTGCTGACTCCCTACCAACCTGCCCGCTCCCTCCGTTCAACGGACTCCGGCCTGCTTCATGTCTCCCATCCGGGCTTTCAGCCTCTCTGCCCCCACACTCTGGAAATCCATCCCACGGTCTCGAGACCTTTCTCTTCGATCATGCCTTTGGTTGCCCTCCCACCTCACCGCCTTCCATCACCCCTACACCACCACACCCCCATGTTCGGGCCCCGACACCTGACTGTTCAGCACTTTGGAATGTCCTCCCGACGTAAAAGGCGCTCTATAAATGTAATTTTGTTGTTGTTATTGTTGTTGTAGGAGAGGAGAGTCTGTAAACTGGAGTAATTTAAAGTTATGAGTTGCTTAACAGTGAACCTATTTTCCAGGGTACAATTTCAAACCTCCCACTTCAGCTCTTCCACTTCCCACTCAGGGTTTAAAAATTTTAATTTTTATTACATTTTTGTTTGCTCAGCTGGGTGTGTGACACATGCGGAAACACAACACCATCCTTATAGGTATCTGAACTAATCAGTGTCCCATGGATTCCACCTATACATTGGAAATTCCGGTGTATTGGAATGGAATGCACAGTCTCCCTGGAGAGACAAATCCTGCTTATTGTAATTCCAAAGAGTGTTAGGCGCAGACTGACGAGCCAAGGTTTAGGGACCCCAGAGTGTGCATTGGGGTACTTCCAGATAAATCCAGCTAAACCTGCATAGTTACAAAACACCATTGCTATTGCTGTTTACCAAGCTTTCCTGCTGCTTGTCCAGCTGGGATCACCCTACTCGTCAGGGCTTTGGCTTGCAGGGTGAACGGGAACTAATCATAATTGCCTTTTATCTTGTGCGTAACCCATACACTTCCATTGGGTCCTACAAAGGTTAACGGAAAATAAAAAGGTGTATTATTTTTAAATACTAAAGATTCCTGTTTTAATAGATGTGGACGGGCTAAGAATAATTATCCTCTTTAAAGATCTGACCTCAAATGTAACAGAAAAGCTAATGCTAATGCACATCCGGTCTTGAAACTTCAGTGGAGTCCTGTAGCTCAGTGATTAGAGCACTCGCTTTGCAAGCGAGAGACCTGAGTTCAATTCCAGGCAGGTCAGGGCGAAACCTTGGGCAAGTTTCCTTACTCCACACACCTAATATTAATCCCTCCAAAACAAAAAACAATAATAAATTGGTCATTTTCAATCTACGACTGTCTGTGGGACATTGCTGTGTGCAATTGGCTGCCGCGTTCGCCCACAAATATACAGTCAATTCACTTTACAGTGTGTTCTGTGAAGCGCTTTGGGACGTCCTCCCGACGTGAAAAGCGCTATATCAAAATGCAAGGATTATTATCATTATTAAGTGGGAAGAGTGCCTGCACACAGTGACTGCTCTGCCCTTCCAAATCCTGCCGATGAGCTAGTTTGGGGGCTACAGTGGACACCTGTAGCTTAGTAGTTAGAGCACTCGCCTCGCAAATGAGTGTACCTGAGTTCGATTCCCAGACATGGCGAAACGTTGGATAAGTTCCCACACGCCTCTGTTCACCTAGCAGTAAGTAGAAGCGCGGTTATTCAATGATTGGCGTAACGCTTTTCCAGGAAGTAATAAACCATTTGAAATTTTTTTTTTAAAATGGTCACTCAATCTATGACTGTTTGTGGGACACTTCTGTGCGCAATTGGCTGCCAGGTTTCGCCCACAAAATATACAGTCGATTCACTTTACAGTATATCCTGTGAAGCGCTTTGAGACGTCTCGAAGATGTAATAAAGCGCTATATCAAATGCAAGGATTATTATTATCAATAGTGGCCTGGAGTACTGCAGACCCGCCTGGTTCAGGAACTGGACTACCAAACTCGCTATAGAAGGTTGACTCGATACTGAGAATCTGCTGCCAAGCATGTCACGTTGGAGCTAGTTCAGCTCCATGGAGACTCCGCTTACTTCTCCTCACCAGAAGGATAGTCACTAGACTATAACATAATGATATAACTATTTATTACATAAATAGAAATAAATATGACCCCTGAGAATCAAGAGAGGACCATCAATGATGCAGGAAATATAATCTGACAAACTATATTGTTTTCATTGGTTACACCTCACCAGTAATCCCTGTGACTGAGCATATACATTATGCGATTTAGTGTCCGGTATGTGAACAAATTCATCTAATCCTTCTGTCTTCTGCTGTGTTTAATAGGAAGCTGAACACATGAAAGTAGTTAAAAATCGTGCAATTCTGGATGCCAAAATTCCTGATGAAATGAAACACAACCAGTCCATTCTTGAGGATGGGCTGCTCCCAATTGAACAGAAAAAACGGAAAATTCAAAGGAACCTTCGGACACTGGAACAGGCTGGCCTGGCCTCCTCAGCAAATAAATTCCAAGAGATAATCAGTGATATTGCAAAAGTACGTGACACAGCAACCTGATATTTAATATAGCTTTTCCTAGTAAAATTTCAGCTCAACTGAGTTAATAGCATTCTCGCTTCTGGTTCAGAAGGTACAAGCCCTATATCAGAACTTGAGCTCATTGTTCAGATTGTTGCACCAGTGCAGTACTGGTAATGTGCTGCATTCTCCTCAGGTGTCAATTCTCCAACCTTCACTGCGAGGAGATGCTGGATTTCCTTGAATCCAAAATCAAGGGAATCCGCTCCACGGTCACTCCCCCTCCAACTTCCACCCATCCCCCACCCCTTCCCTCCCACACTGCGACTTCTACCCATCCTCCCCTACAAACCTACGAACCCGTTTCCCCACCCTCTGTCACCAAACTCATCTTGTCCCTGAAACCCACCACCTGCTTCCTTGACCCCATCTCCACTCCTTATCTCTCAGCTCCAACCTTCAAGGCCATGTCCTTAAGTGGTTTAGGTCGTACCTCTCCCATCGACTTCATTTTGTTTCCACAAACGGCTTTTCCTCCAGCCCCCACACTGTCTTGTGCGGTGTCCCTCAGGGCTCTGTCCTCGGTCCCCTCCTCTTCACCCTCTGTGGAGTCCTGTAGCTCAGTGGTTGAGCACTCGCTTTGCAAGCTAGAGACCTGAGTTCAATTCCAGGCAGGGCGAAACCTTGGGCAAGTTTCCTTACTCCACACGCCTAATAATAATCCCTCCAAAACCAAAAACAATAATAAATTGGTCATTTTCAATCCACGACTGTTTGTGGGACATTGCTGTGCGCAATTGGCTGCCGCGTTCGCCCACAAATATACAGTCAATTCACTTTACAGTGTGTTCTGTGAAGCGCTTTGGGACGTCCTCCCGACGTGAAAAGCGCTATATCAAATGCAAGGATTATTATTATTATTATTATTATATGCTCCCCCTTGGTGACATCATCCGCAGACATGGGGTTAACTTCCACATGTATGCGGATGACACCCAACTCTACCTTTCCTCCTCTACCCTCAACTCCACGACCACCAATGTCCTGACAGCCTAACTTTCTTCAGCTCAACGTGCGCAAAACTGAGGCCCTCCTGATTGGCTCCGCACCTCAGGCGCTGACAGCATTAGCATCCAAGGCTGCATTCTCCACCTCTCAAAGCCAGTCAGGAACCTCGGTGTTCTGTTCGACCCTGAGCTGTCCTTTCTTCCTCATATCCGCGCCACAACTGGCACCACCTTCCATCACCTCCGGAACATCGCCAGACTATGGCACTACCTCACCCCTCACACTGCTGAAACTCTGGTCCACACCTTTATCACCTCAAGGCTGGACTATGGGAACTCTCTCCTCGCCAGTCTTCCCGGCATCTCCCTCCACAAGCTGCAGGTCATTCAGAACTCTGCAGCTCGTGTACTGTCCCGCACCAGGCTTCGGGACCACATCACTCCCACCCTCGCTCGCCTCCACTGGCTTCCCATCCCCCAGAGGATCGAATTCAAGATCCTCATCCTCACCTACAAGGCCATTCACAGCCTCGCTCCCTCCTACCTCTCCGACCTACTATCCCCTACCTACCTGCCCGTACCCTCCGTTCCTCTGGCTCCGGTCTGCTCCACATCCCCTGCCCCAACCGCCCTACCATCGGTGGCCGGGCCTTCAGCCTCTCAGCCCCGAGGCTCTGGAACTCCATCCCCCAGTGCCTTCGCCTTGTTTCCTCCCTTTCCTCCTTCAAGTCCGGTCTCAAGACCTTTCTCTTTGACCGTGCCTTCAGCTCCCCCCTCGACTCTCTACCTCCTCCTCGCTCCCTCCCTTCCCTCCCCTCACCCTGACTATTTTCCCCCTCCTCGCTCCCTCCCTTCCCTCCCCTCACCCTGACCATTTTCCCCCCAAGGCTCGGGTCCTGACCCAACTGTCCAGCGCCTTGGGATGTCCTCCCGATGTGAAAGGCACTCTATAAATGGAATCTTGTTGTTGTTGTTGTGTCGTCATTTGCATGAGACGTTAAACTGAGGTCCCGTCCACCTGTTCAGGTGGATTTAAAAGATCCTGTGACACTATTTGAAAATAGAAATTAGTTTCGCCCAATGTCATGGCCAACGATCCTCCAGGTTAATTGATCATTTACCTCCTGACTGTTTGCAGGACATGGTTGGCACAACTGACTGCCATGTTTCCGGCAAAATAACGCCCATTGTTAATAATATGTCCAAGATGCATTGAAGTGTAAATTAGAAATTTTCGTGGTGCTCCAGTAAGAATTTATTTGTCTTCAAAGAGTTTTATTCTGTGTTTCAGGATATTCGGAATCAAAGACGGTATCGGCAACATCGCAAGGCTGAGCTTGTGAAAGTGCAGCAGACCGTGAACGCACTTAACTCAAAGTCTCAGTTTTATGAAGAACAGAACAATTATTACAACACGTATATTAAAACCTGCCTCGACAACCTAACGAGAAAGTAAGCAATTGTTATGGCTCCATTTTGTAAACCATTCAGTGTTGAGCAACTAGTTCTGAATTGTCCTCAGACAGGCGCTCTAAGACACTACCCCACACTTTATAAATCTATGTTGTTGTTGTTGAGATTTGGGGGGTGTTGTTTTCAAACATTGTTGTATTAAATGTCGCAGCGGGTCAGATTCTGATGATATTGACGTATTTTCTTACAGGAATGTCAGAAGGTCAATTAAACTAGATGGGAAAGGAGAAGAAAAGGGCAGTAAAAAATCAAAACCAACCACTTTGCGTTACACCGCATCAAGACTGCATGAGAAAGGAGTTGTTATGGAAATTGATGGACTGCAGTCCAACCAGTAAGTAATAGCATATTTGGTATTCAAAAGGATAAACAACAACAAAATTATGTTAGAATTATTACTAAACGTTTCAGTGCTATTTTAGGTTGTAGTAAGAATTTATGTAGTCTATATAATTTCTATACATGAGTATATCATTGTATAATAAATTAACATTTAATTAATATATAAATTAATAATATTTACATAAATTCCAGGATATTGGGATGCTCTCATCCAATTACCGATGAGAATTTCAAATTTCTTTCTTTCTAGCTAGTTGATTTGCAAATAAAACATCCATGCATGAATTATTTTAAAACCTTATTTCTTCAAAAAGAACTTTGCCTGAATTCATGTTCTTAAGTATTTGAGAAGCAGAATCAAAATTAGCACACTAGTTCGACATTTTAGATTAGCCATGACATTGGACATGAACTATTTACTTTTGCATCTTCCAATGAATCCTGCTTTTCCATTTGAATCTCACTTGATTTGCAGTAAAGATCACTGTCTCCACTTTTCTTTTTTTCAGTATAAGTGACCATAGGAGACTAATTTGTGGTATTTCTTAGCTGGATACTTTTTTAAAAAATCCAATTGGAATTCCAGTTCACCCAGGTGAATTCCACTCCAGACATAGATCTTGTCAGAGTACTGATCTTGCCAGCGCCTTGGGACATCCTCCCGAAATGAAAGGCGCTATACAAATGTAATGTTGTTGTTTACGTGGCTCAGTAGGATATACTTCCAGTTACCAGCGAGAGCTCCTGTTTGCACAGAGCAAAACAACAATCTCAGGCTGACACTGCAGTAGTATTGTCAGAGGTGCTATCCTTCACTTCATGGCTGTTTGTTATTCGCCTCAAATCTGTTTCTGAAACATTGCAATGTGCAAATTGGCTGCCACATTTTCCTACAAATACAGTCACTTCATTTCATAGAAACTTTGTGAAGTACTTTGAGATATTATTGACAAGGATTCATTTTAGGATTTTTTTTGAAGACATAAGATTTTAAAATAAATAACACAAACACGGTTGTTTTACCTGTGAATCAAGACGTGATAGCCCTAAAGGAAGTGTAACATTTTTTATTATGGAATCCCATTAAGATGCATCTTAAGATTATTTCAATTAAAACTGTTGACCTCATGTTTTTTTTGATAGGTTTAAGAATGTCCTCTTCGATATCACACCAGGTGAGGAAGTGGGTGACTTTGAAGTCAAGGCCAAGTTCATGGGAATAGAAATGGAAAAAATACAGCTTCATTTTCAGGTAAAACACAAAGGCAATTGTAAAAAAAAAGATTGAGGGCATTGCCTATTTACATAACTTGGAAGTGTATAAATACATGTGTTGAGCACATGCTAACATTTCTAAGCAGATTTGTCATAATGTTTTGTTCCAATTGGATTTTATATCAGATCACTAGTGTATTTGATCCCTTTTTCAGGGTAGTATTGGGTGTCTGGCTCTCTTTCTCCCTTACCCCCACCTCCACATCAAATGTCTTGCAGTAACAAACGTGAGCTGTTTCTTTATCACAGAAAGAAAATTGGGTTTATATTTCTGATCATTTGCTAGTACAGTTTATGGTGAGGGAGAAAAAGGTTTGGATTGCTGCTAAAATAAAATAAAAGAGAAGGAATACAGAGAGGCGAATATTCTAGATGCACATTATGGAGTTTTAGTGACTGCAGTGTTCATGTCTTGGTGCACTGTGAGGGCAAGATGTTCAGTGGGGAAGGGCGAGATGAAAACTTTGAGCAGTCACCATTTAACTCGCAGTCCTTCTACCCTTTGAGATTTAGTGGACACAATATTGAGATTTGGATATAATAGCAGTTACACAACAACAAACAACAAATTGTATTTACATAACTTCTTTCTCGATTGTGAGGATGTCGCAAGGCACAGTTACGTAAGGGCCTGGATGAGTGCAAACTTCTTGCAGCTGAATGTGGACAGGACAGAAGCCATAAACCTTGGCTCCCGTCAATGTCTTCACTCCTGTGGATCTAAACTCCTAGTGCACTATCCAAACGTCCGGTTCGACCCCCAGCTGTCCTTCCTCCCCCACATTCGGTCCCTGACCGGGACTGCCTTCTTCCATCTTCGCCACATTGCCCTCCTCCGACTTTACCTTACCCCAAATGTAGCTGAAACCCTCATGCATGCGTTTGTCACCTCGCTCCTGGATTACTCAAACACACTCCTCACTGGTCTCCCAAGCTCCATTTTTCAAAAGATCCGGCTCCTTTAGACTTCTACCACCCACATACTGACCCGGACCAAACTCCGTACCCACATCTCACCAGTTCTGGCCAGACTCCACTGACTCCCTATCACTGAACGGATCAATTTCAAGATCCTGAATCTCAGCAGTGTCCCACAAATAGTCATGGATTCAGTGACCAATAAAAATTATGGTCTCTGACCTTAAACAAAAAAACTTGCTAAAGTAGATATGCAGAAAAGCTCTTAAGGTCAGGACTGCTTCACGGGGAGGGTTGTGAAGATGTGGAATATTCTGTCTAGAAAAGTGTAGAGGGACATTAGGAATGTTTAAATGAGAGAGAGACAGATACTTGAGTGTTTTTCTACATTCCTATGTTCCTATGTTCCTCATATGTTAAGTAATAATAATAATAATAATAATAATCCTTGCATTTGATATAGCGCTTTTCACGTCGGGAGGACGTCCCAAAGCGCTTCACAGAACACACTGTAAAGTGAATTGACTGTATATTTGTGGGCGAACGCGGCAGCCAATTGCGCACAGCAATGTCCCACAAACAGTCGTAGATTGAAAATGACCAATTTAATTATTGTTTTTGGTTTTTTGGAGGGATTATTATTAGGCGTGTGGAGTAAGGAAACTTGCCCAAGGTTTCGCCCTGCCTGGAATTGAACTCAGGTCTCTCGCTTGCAAAGCGAGTGCTCTAACCACTGAGCTACAGGACTCCAAGTGGTATTTTAAACCCCATCTTTAGTCCTGTGGTTGTAACAGGATATTGGTAGCTCAGCATTCAATTTCAGGTGGCTGGGACTTTATATTAAATTCAATCCTCCTACCGTATTCAGTTCTCTGCCATTCTAAATTACCCTTGCTAATGTATTCTGAGCCTATGGGTTGATAGACTGGGATCTAATGCACAGCAATTTCTAACTGGATTCCTTAATAAGAATTCCGAGTTGGAACCACTTCCTGTAATCAGTAAGTATATCAGGCCAAGGCTCTGAAAGTAGATTGTGGGCATTGTGGCATTCCTATGGCTTGAGGGATGTGCTTCTGGTTTTCTCATTGAGAAATCCCATTAGAATTTAATCTCTTTCAGAGGCTTTTGTGGAATTATCCTTCTAGAAGTGGTAATAAATAACTTCCTTGCTTTCCCAGGACCTACTACAGCTGCAATACGATGGTGTGGCTGTTATGAAGATTTTTGACAAGGCTAAAATCAACGTCAATCTGCTGGTCTTCCTCCTGAACAAGAAATTCTATGGAAAATGACCCAACCGCACTATAGCAACCCTGTCAGTCAAATTCTTACTAAAATCTTTCTGGATCATTAATTTAAAGAATGTCTTATTCGCAATCTATACTGGGATCGGGAAAGATATTTTGATTTTCTCCAAGAAAAAAATGTATATGACAGTATTGGACCAAAACTGACTTTTGCCATTGTTCTTTCAGCTTAAGTCTTAAACTAGTTTGTACCTTCTCAGTGTTTCCAAAGACTTCATAGGCATAGATTTCTAACTTTAAATGTTTAAAAACGCAGAAAAATGTGCTTTGGGAAAGTTGGCTCTCTTACTGCAGACAGTTTCTTTGCTTTATATAACTGCAGTTAATTGGATCCTCAAAAATGATGGATCCAGTACCTCCCAGTTTACTTTGCTCTCAGCTCTATACTGTATTTGCTGGATATCTCCGCCACTTTAGAGGATTCTCATGATTCCCTAAAAATCACAATGCAAATGGATTTAACCTGTGGTCCATCCCTCTTGGATTAATGTCCAGTTAAAGTGATGCACCAGTTACAGTACTATAAAAATTAAAATTAAAATTTTAAATTTTAAAAATGCTAAGGTCATTGGGTTGTGTACCAGTAAGACGGATGTGTGGACTAGATTAGCCATGATGACACTGGACATGATTTATTTACTCTTGCATCTTCCTTTGAATCTTGCTCTGCCATTTGAATGTAAATTAAATACAAATTGAGGTCCAGTTACTGAATTGGTAACAATGTATCAAGATGGCCAGGGCATATTCAAACCTGTTTCTGTATGTTTAAATTGTCTTTTGTGGTTCAATGCTGGAAAAGCAACAGGAGCTTCAGAATTGAAAGTACAAAGTTTTACTTAAATGTTTGTACAGTCAACAGCAGAGCAGCACACAAAACTCACTTATTTCCAATGAGTGTTGCCTGTGAAGTGCGCACAGATTGCCTTTTACCTCCATCCACTACTTATCCTGCAATCAGTCGTCACTGTTCCTCAGTGCCTGTCACTTGTACTGCAGTCTAATGCTGAAGTCTGATTGTTCAAGTTTGAATTTCTTTCTCCTTGTATTTGAGCAGAATCCCAAATGCTGGTCTAGATCCAAGTATAAAGACACAATAGGTATGGGTTTGGTTGGAATATGAAGCCTCCTAATTCCAAGTTGAAATTTTACTGACAGTCAATACAGGAGTCTATTTTAATCAAGAATATCTAACACATTTCTGAACGCCAGTTACGCTAACAATTTTAACTTCAAAATTAAGCATTTTTAATGGAGAATTCAATTCTACGGTAAAACATTTCAGACAGTGACTTGGGTGCAATGCTATGTGCATACAGGGTAAGAAAGCTTGCAGTACATTTTGACTTTACACCTAGTTCCTGCGATTGAAATGTCCAGCACTCTATTCTAATATATCTTTTACAACCATATATTTCATTATGGCTTCTAAAAAGAATATTCTAACTAGGGGTTACTTGATTCCTCCACTTGCTATGCCTTTGCTAATCTTCCGTTTTCTTCCTCTTGTCCATTGATAAAAAGCTGTACAGTAAATAGGTGGATCAAGTTATGAATCATATTTGAATGCTTCTGAGATGAAGATTGTTTTCCTCTCAAGCATCAGGAGACTGGATTGCAAACTGTGGCAACTGATGGAATTTGTGAAATAGTTGCAAATTTTGCCCATGGAATCCAAATCTACAGTCGCTATCATCTTTTATTCATTAAATACAAAATAGAATACATTCCAGTTGTGATTTTTTTAAAAATCTATAAAATGTTGATTTTTGATCATAAATTTGTGGAAAAACAGAACTTTAATTTCCGGGTTATGGGAGCACTGCAGCTTTATCCTGATCTCTAACCCCAAGTTTTCCGTGCTGCTTGTTTAGTTGAAAAATAAAACGTAATCATTTATTTTAATAGTTTGCTTTACTGTACGATTTCACTTCTGAAACCATTCCTTTTTAAAATATTTGATGTAAAGATAAAATATATGATTGAATAACATTAAAAGATATTAAAATATGCACTACTGCCTAATGGCCAAAAGAATACTTGCAGCCAATGTGTGTTCTACCTGTAGGATGGTAATGCTATGATTTGGCTCTAGTGATTTGATTTATGTATGTATCTGGTCAGTGAAAACCAATATTTTGTGCCTTTTGTATGTAAGCTGCTCTGTCCTGTAGTGTATGCTATTTATAGCTGTTCCCTTTTTAATACCAAAAATGGAACCACCTTTGACAACATTGGTTTGTTTTGGTCTGCCTTGTCAAATTGTTCTATGGAAAATAAATCTTTCTAAAAACTCGATTCACTTCTGTTGCCCTGGTCATCACGCTGGGATACTAAGCGTGTGACTTTCTTGTGTCCTGCTGTGTTGGTGAGTTATGGGCTTTGTTTTTTTAACAGGGAACGATCTAAACTTTCACAACTTCATGTTTCACAGGAATTTATCTTTCAACCATTAACTGGCGTCAAGCTAACATGTCCCTGATACAGGTGCTTCGAACCATGCAGATTAACACTGCAGTTGAGGATTTACAGGCTAGTCATTCTTATTCTAGTTTCTGTACACAGAATTGTCAGGGCTAAATTTTATTGCCATTCCTCCTTAATTTCCATCATACAATACCATGAGATCCAGCAGCCGGGTGCCTAGGCTGGGCAAAGACAAGTTCCAAACCTCTGGAATCAGCCAAAGTCCCAATGATATAAAACAAGGAGGATCCGTGAGCTGTATGTCTGACCTTTCACAAGGTCACCCAGTATCAGCCTGGTTTAGTCATTCTAACTCATGCACAATCAGCAGGAAAGCTTGCCAGACAGTGCTATCAATGGTAAACTATGTGGTTTTAGCTGTTAATCTCCAGCAGGACCCCAACACATTCTCCGGGAACCTCAAGCCTTGTCTTATAATAATAATAATAATCCTTGCATTTGATATAGCGCTTTTCACGTTGGGAGGACGTCTCAAAGCGCTTCACAGAATATATGTAAAGTGAATTGACTGCATATTTGTGGGCGAACGCGGCAGCCAATTGTGCACAGCAATGTCCCACAGACAGTCGTGGATTGAAAATAACCAATTTATTATTGTTTTGTTTTTTTGGAGGGATTATTATTAGAACTAGAACTTATTATTACTTATTATAACTTATTATTGTTATTATAACTTATTATTCATAGAACTTATGAAGATTTACAACAACAACTTTCATTTTATGGTGTTCTTCATGCAGAATAATAACTAGTAGGTTACAGGAGGTGCTGAGGGCACCTTACCCCCTTTCTCCATATGTAAACAGCAAGATTGTTTTTGTCTACAGAAAGTACAGCAAGATAGCAGCAATAAAACCTCCCACACTGTTGTATGAAGGTCTGTGTCCTCAATAGTGCAGAGGTATTTTATCTCCTTTTGGCCTGTAAATGACTTCACTCTTTTGTTCCCAGTCATTCCTGTCCTTCGTAAATGATCTGTTCTTCACACTTTTAAGAAAATTATTCTGATGCTCTCAGCCCTGGAGATCAATATATTCATTCAGCCCACTTATAAATGAATCAGCTGGTTTTCAAACTGAGGACATCACATGATATCGCCAGTTCACGTAAAAATACATATAGTCACTACACTTTACAGTAAACCCTGTGAAGCATTCTGAGAAATTTTGATGATGTGATAAAATAATAATCCTTGCATTTGATATAGTACTTTTCACGTTGGAGGGATACCGATAAAGCACTTTGTGAGATTTACTGTAAAGTGTAGTGACGGTATTTTGGAGGCAAATGTAATAAGTTTGTAGAATCATAGAACTTGACTGCACTGAAGAAGGCCAATCTGCCCACTGAGTCTGCACTGACTGTTCATTCAATCTGACTGCCCCACCCTAGCCCCACACACCTCCAACGCTCTATCCTTCATATACCTCTCGACTTCCCTCTTGAAACCAATAATGGACTCTGCCTCTAGCAGCTTAATTGGTAGGACATCCCATGTCCCAACAACTGTGCGAAAAGATTTCCCTTTACACAGCACACACACCCTTCCCTCCCCATAATAATAATAATAATAATCCTTGCATTTGATATAGCGCTTTTCACGTCGGGAGGACGTCTCAAAGCGCTTCACAGAACACACTGTAAAGTGAATTGACTGTATATTTGTGGGCGAACGCGGCAGCCAATTGCGCACAGCAATGTCCCACAAACAGTCGTAGATTGAAAATGACCAATTTATTATTGTTTTTTGTTTTGGAGGGATTATTATTAGGCTCTGTGTGGAGTAAGGAAACTTGCCCGAGGTTTCGCCCTCTGCCTGGAATTGAACTCATCATTGACTGAGCTCCTATTAGCCTAGTTAAATGTCTAGCCCCAACAACTCCGCGGAATATCTTGGGGATGGGGAAGGAACTGGAAGGGGTGGAACGAGACACGCCTCGAGAAATTGGGAGTCATTAGGAATGTTATTTGGATTGGAGGCGGATGGCCTTGCCAGAAAAAATACAGAGACTCTATTTTGGTGTGGAGGTGGTGGCAGGAAGGAGGGGCCTATGGATTGCTGGATATGCATGTGGGTTAATCGGCACCTGAGAAACAACAACAACAACAACAAGATTCCATTTATAGAGCGCCTTTCACGTCGGGAGGGCGTCCCAAGGCGCTGAAACAGGGAAACAGGTCAAAATTTCAGGAGTGAGAACCCCTTGCTCATTCCATTAGAAGTGAACTGGCTGGGCTAGGAGGCCTGCCCCCTCCCACTCTTACCTCCTCACTTCTATTGGCACCCGATTAGTCATCAATTCCCAAAGGAGAAACAATGTATGTTCAAATTCTGGGACCACTTCTTGATCCTACAAAGAGGATCTGGCAGTTCTGCCACACAGATGTCCGATGAGGAGACAGCCCCCTAACGCCAACCCGTGTAAACTCCTCACTCCCTCAGCTTTGCAACCAGGATTTTACAATTCACACTTGCAAGGATTATTAGTATAAATTGGGACTTTTCGTGCACACAGTCACCAAGTGAAACAAATATTCTGTGCAAATACACTGTGACCTGCCTCATTCTTCAACCTCCTGTGCTCAGCAACTATTTGGTTCTACTCCAGTTAACTTCCTGTTTACATAATTTGCTTCTTTCCCCCATGATTAATGTTGGAAGACATGTGTTTCTCAGTTCTTAAATTGCTTCCTTTGCGTTATTGCGATGATCTTGATGGCAGTTATATCACAAGAGATATATTAAGATTTTTGATTGAAAACCGTGCCAAATCCATTTTACTAGATGTAATTGGTAACACTCGGGACTGAATCAGAGGTTATAGGTTTAACCCTATATTGGGATTGTGAGCTCATAGTTTCGCCTGAAACGCCAATGCAATGCCTTCAGATGAGACATTAAACTGAGGTCCCATTGGCCTGTTCAGATTAATGGTAAAGATTCCATGGCATTATTGGAAAAGATAAGGGAATTTCTCAGTATCTGGTCAACAATTTTCCAGTTGCTAAAGACACTGAGTGAAATGAGGCACACAAGACCTCTTTATCCATTAGCTGTCAGTCAGAGGGCAGTAGAGGTGCTACAATTGACTTCCCAAGTTATTGGATATGGAGCATTCAGGGACAGTTCCCACACCTGATTGTTACCCAGTGAGTCCTGATATAAGTGGATATTAGGTGAAGGCAGGATTCAGTTTGGCTGTAGTACTTCCTCCCTTGGCTGAACAGCCTCACAAAATCCATTACTGTTTGTGCGTCACTGCCGTGCGCAATTGGCTGCTGTGTTTCGCCCACAAAATATACAGTCAATTCACTTTACAGTAAATTTTGTGAAGCGCTTTGAGACATGATAAAGCGCTATATCAAATGTAAGGATTATTATTATGGCACTCCCAATGCAGTTGAAACCATTAATCATGCATTTGTTACCTTCAGAGTAGACTCCTCGCTGGCCTCCCAACTCTACCTTGCACAAACAACAACAACAAGATTGCATTTATAGAGCCCCTTTCAGGTCGGGAGGACGTCCCAAGGCGCTGGACAGTTGGGTCGGGACCCAAGCAGGGGGGAAATGGTCAGGGTGAGGGGAGGAAAGGGAGGGAGCGAGGAGGGGCTAGAGAGTCGAGAGAGGAGGTGAAGGTACGATTGAAACTTCAAGATCCTCAGTTTCACCTACAAATCCTACACTCCCTCAACCCTCTTACCTCATCGACCTTCTCCAGCCCCATTCTTCTTCACATTCCTTCCACTCACCTACTGCATGTTCCTCACCATGTCAATTCCGAGCCTTCAGCCACTGATAATAGAACTCCTCTCAAAATCCTTCCATGTCATTCCCTCTCTATCTGCCTTTAAAAGCCTGAAATCCTACATCTTCAGCTGTGCCTACAGACACCTCTGTCCTCCCTGACACAGTCTCCAGGAATGATTTAAGATATTATTTGTGATGGATTAGCAATGGAATGCAATGATTTGCATGAAACACAATGACGTGCAGAATGTTGATGATACCGACGTGAAAGGCGCAATACAAATGTAATTTTGTTGTTGTAAACATATTGAGAACACAATGAATAGTGGACAAATTAGATGTTGTTTGAGAAAATAAAAGTACAGGATTGTATGGGAAGGCACCACTACCTCTTGGAGCTTCTGAAGAGAAGGCAGGTCAGTGTGTTCACCTGGCTCGGTCACTCACTGTAAGCGCTATTTCTTTTGTGTATCACTTTGTGTAAGAATTGAGTATATGTCGTAGAGCTGCTTGAGAGACTTGATCAAATAAACTGTTTATAATAATACTCCTTGCATTTGATATAGCGCCTTATCGTGTCATTGAGATGTCTCAAAGCGCTTCACAGAATATACTGTGAAGTGAATTGACTGTATATTTTGCGGACAAAATGTAAGCCAGACCTCTGTGGAGGTCTGGGAAGTCTGGTTCCTGAGCCAGACAGGTCCGCAGTATTCCAGGGCACTGCTGATGACAGCAAGGCCAGCCTGGCTCATCGACAGAACTTGGAAGGACAGACTAGTCACTGTGGCAGGGAATCATCCTACTCAGTTCCTGTTAACCCTGCAAGCCAAAGCCCTAACGGGTAAGTCGATCCTAGCTGGACAAACAGCAGGAAAGCTTGTCAGACAGTGATATCAATGGCAAGCTATGCAGTTTTAGCTGGTTGGACACCCTAAGCCGAAACCCTTGCCAACTTGCGGTCTAATACTTTCCAGAAATAGGCAAACAGAATGTATCCTTCCAGGGAGAGAGTACACATTCCATTCCAATAATCTATCTTTGGAATTTCTATGTGTAG